AAGGAGATTATAAATAGTTCAAAATGCAGAAAGATTTTACCTAAGTTCCTAAACAAAAAAAATCAGTTATATAAAAAAAATCTACGTTGGTAAAGGATATTCAATTCACAACATTTTCGGTGTGATTTGCTTTTGGCACAGGTCTTCTTTCTGGTACTAAAATGCAAATATACAGTTTAACAGATCTTTGTCAATGACAGATCTTGATTTAACAAATTGTGAATTACACATAAAGAGATGTTTTGAAATAATAAAATATACAAAAATAAAAATATTTCAATAACACACACACACACACACAGAGAGAGAGAGAGAGAGAGAGAGAGAGAGAGAGAGAGAGATGTTAGGAGTGTTTTTAAAGAAAAATTCCTCGCTCCTAAAACTGAACAGAATAACTTTAAAAAACCTGCACTTTGTTTTGTAGAAATATTAGGGATGCACTAATATACAGAAAGATAGATTACAATAATAAGCTATAATGTATTCTTTTTCATTTGATTATAAACACACACATAATTATCCGCTATTTAAAACGACAGCGGCTGTTGTATGACGTCAAGCTTATTGATTTTGTCAGCCCCAAATATTTTTTTCAGTTCTAGAAGCATTTAAAAGTTATATTCATGTTTGTAAAAAAAGCCCCCAAAATATATACATAAGATGATGGAATATATATATTTTGTATATAGCTAATTATACCAACATTTCAAGCAGATATATACTTTTCATATCAAAAAAAGTTTAATTACAAAAAAAACTATTTTTTATTTGTAGAAGACAGTCACCCAAAAACTATCAATTTTAGCTCACCTGAATTTAGTCAACAGAGCTGATCACCCTCCCCACCCCACCCCATTCTGATCCCACCTCTGTGTTTGCTCCGCTCCTGTTTTGTATTGTTTAATGGACTTTTGAGCTTGAATACTGTTCATAATCTCCACATAATTATCTCATTCTTTGAAATCTAAGTCCCCTTGGACATGGAGTGATCACATTTGGGGATTTTATAGGTGAATTTCACAGAAAAGGGAATCTATAAAAAAAAATTTCCCCAAGATCAAATCATGGCCCCAATGGAGATAAAATCAATAAAGGGTTCAAATATTTTTAAGGCTAGTATATGTATTCCTTTATGAATTTATCAAGTTTTTATGTCTTTTTTGTCCAATTTTGCTTTTTCCTTTAAAAATATCATAAGAGTAAAAAAAACATTTTAAAAGAGAGATAACGCTTATTCAAAGTTGATCAAATTATTGCCCTCGGGAGAAGGGTAGGGCACAATTGCTAATTCAATGTTTAGGGATCAATTTCTTGTTCAAAAGTTCTTGTGAGTCAAGATTTTCAAAGTATTGCTTCTTCCTGAAGTGTGAATTTTCCCTTTTGACTGAACTCTAACATAGTGGTCCTAATATTTTTCAAAAAAGTTTTACAGGCGGGCATATATTAAAAAAACAATTTTTAAAACCTTTTAATAGAAACTAGACTGGCATGACATATTTGGCCTGTTATATATCAGTGAGTAAAGACAGAGATTTCAATTGAAGGACAGATAATACAAGTATAAATGGTTTAACATGGTGTGGAGAGGACATTCCTAAAAGCATATTAGATTATGTTTTATTAATGATAATTTTATGTTTTCTCACTTTGTAATATTACTGTACGTAGAGCACCCACTGTTGAAGGGACACGTATGAGCAATCATTTGGGCTTAGGTTTTAATCTCAGTACTTTTGAACATCTACATGGTAGTGAATACTTAAAGTTAAAAAACAATTATTAGCTGATGAAAAATCTTGTGAAAACTAAGAAAGCATATAAGTGACGAAAAAGAAAAATTAAAACAGTCAAACGATCCTAAAGTTAGATGGAGACGAATGAAAATGTAAATTAAAGACTTGGAAAATGAAATAGATTGGAAAATATTAGTTAATACTTCAATAAATTACAAATATGGAGAAACCAAATCAGTGAAGGTTTACAGATGAAAACCAATTTTTAGAATATGTTAGCCTATACCTACATATAAAAGTGTAATATAACCTTTAAAAAATATACCAAGCCAGGTGAATTTCTTGAGGAAAAGTTAAATTCATCCTATGTGATTTTTCACCATTTTGTGCTTCCTCATGATTTGTCCAAATCAGTTATTTTATTGAAGTATTAACTTACTATTTTCCAAGTCTATTTCATTTTCCAAGACTAAGGAGAAAAAGTTCAAAGAATAACCCACTTTTAAAGCCTGTGAAAGAAAAAGTTCAAAAAAAAAAAAAAATTGTAGAATAACCCACTTTTAAAGCCTGTGTAATGATACTGTATTAATTAAGCATTTGTATCATCTGTCCATAAGGCATTTTAATAGGTGAGCTTAGTAGCCCCATTGAATTGCGGAGTGAATTAGTTTTTGAAAAAAAAAAGGAATAATTTTTTTTCTAAAAATAATGGAATTGTGTCTTAATCTTGAAGGAATGATCCTCCCATATTCAGTTACTTAGCAAACAAGCATCAACAAATTGACATTACATTTGCTTTATTAACATGTTCAGTACAAATCATAAGACTGATACATGTACACCGTCAAAGAACATCTTACTCTGTATTTATCAACATAGAGATTACAATGTAAGCTTAAATCATAATATTACAATGTAATTGTCTCTTTTTTTCTTTGATATCTATATGCCGATTTTCTTTCTTTAAAAAAAACTTTTCTTTATTTCAGCAAAAGGGTAAAAAATTAGCACCATTTTCACATTGTTTGACATATAATGAAATTTTAAAGAATACTGCACAATAAACAAAAGAAAAATATACAGTAATCCGACTGATTACATCTTTAGAAAAATTAGTACCATGTTGTGTTTTTACATACATAATGACATACATCTACTTGTTAGGCCATGCAAAGTTAATTCTTTGGTTCTCAAACATTTGTTCAAAAAAAAATATGATGTCAGAGGAAGGGAGGCATTTTTTAGTTTACTTTTTATTGCCCCACATGATGGGACAGCTTTTTACATTGTACAAAACCTCAAAAAATGATGAGAGAGGTGATCTATTGTTTTTATTTCATTGATTTAAAAAAAGGGTTAATGAGGCACCTTTGGAAGAGATGACGGAGGGGCTGAGAACCAAGAAATTAATTTTCATATGGCCTTACTTATAAATGCAGTTTACATACATCCACTTGTTACTTATAACTACATTCTAGTTTGTATTTTTTGAGACAATCATGATCCTAGGACGATCTCAAACAGCAAATCTGTAATAAATACTGTGGAACAATTTTTATTTGTGAGTGTCATGTTTGTGGGTAAGCGAAATATAACCTGTTCGTGGGGACGTAATTTCTTGAGTTACTCATAAATACAATGATTCAATGAATCAATATCTTAACAAAATAACAAAATAAATGTTCATTGGGACGTAATATCGTGGGTAAAGATGACCCACGAACATTGGTCCCCCAGGAACAATGATGATTCTACATTACTCATTATAAAACTTTGTAGAATGAAAAAAATCTCAATTTTAGAGAAACCATTGTCAGTCTTGCAGCTATATCATTCATTATCATAAAAATAAAAAAAAATATCTGAATGCAGTTCAAAACTTCTCAAGTCTTGTAAAATTCAAACTAGTTTTTGATATTTTTTGAGAAGTAAAGTGTTTCTAAAACCAGAAGTCTCTGTCGAGACTGAAGCTCTACTGGTTTGTACTTATAGTAAAGGAAGAGAAAAGTACCTAAGCAGTTGTGAATTGAAACTTTACAACAGCAATAAATAGAATTATGATCCTTGATTAAGTTTCTTTATGTTCTTAGTGTAGTCTACTTGCATGCCACATTATATTATAATCAGACTAAATTTGTATTTGGAGTAGCATTTTGAGAGTATTTAACAGAAATTTCAATTTTTAGTAACCACGGCAACACCGTTCATTAAAGTGAAAAACTGACACAAAGAATTATGTATCTTAGTGTAGTCTACTTGTGTGCCAAGTTATATTGAAATAAGACCAAAACTGTAGGAAAAGTAACATTTTGAAAGAACTGATACACAGTGTAGTCTACTTGTGTGTCAAGTTATATTGAAAGCAGACCAAAACTGTAGGAGGAGTAGCATTTTGAAAGAATTTCACAGAAATTTCTATTTTTAGTTACCACGGCAACACCGTTCATCGAAATCAAAAACCGATAAACAGAATTATGTATCTTAGTGTAGTCTACTTCTGTGCCAAGTTATATTGAAATCAGACCAAAACTGTAGGAGGAGTAGCATTTTGAAAGAATTTCACAGAAATTTCTATTTTTAGTAACCACGGCAACATCGTTCATCGAAATCAAAAACCGATAAAAAGAATTATGTATCTAAGTATAGTCTACTTTCGTGCCAAGTTATATTGAAATCAGACAAAAACTGTATGAGGAGTAGCATTTTGAAAGAATTTCACAGAAATTTCTATTTTTAGTAACCACGGCAACATCGTTCATCGAAATCAAAATCCGATATACAGAATTATGTATCTTAGTGTAGTCTACTTGTGTGCCAAGTTATATTGAAATCTGGCCAAAACTGTAGGAGGAGTAGCATTTTGAAAAAATTGTTTACAGACAGACAGACAGACGGACAGACGCCGGACACATTACTATCACATAAGCTCTTCTGGTCTCTGACCAGTAGAGCTAAAAAATCAGGATTTCAAACCAATTGTTTATCTTGAGCCTAACATTTTTCCTGCCATTTGCATGCAATTTCAGGTTGTTTATACTAATAGTAGTAAAATGTATAAAAAAAAAAAAAAAATACGTCATAAAAAGGTGTAAAAGATGAATCTCTTGAATAAAATTTGCTACAAACCAATACACAATAAAAGAAAATACGTAATAAAACAAGTTGCATTTATTAGATTTGTTACTATATACATGTAACAGTATTTTCTTAAAATCTTTAAAATATATATAATGAATTCATTTTACTTTTTTTTTAAATTAAGTCTGTATGCCTGCTTCAATATTAAAATAGAAATGCATCTTCAGCATTTCTTTTAAAAAATTACTAAAAAAAAGGGAAATATTCTTAATATAGGTTATTAAAACCTTCAAAAGAAAGAAATCTTATAGATCAAAAGGGGGGGAACAATTTTTCATCTTAAGTGACTTTCATGTCTTCCTCCGTGAAGAGCTCATCTTCCCAGCATTCATGAGTAAAATTCACTTCCTGTTCCTTATAAAACTGAGTCCTCTTGGCATTTTGATCACAGGAAGTATCCATTTTCCACATTTCCTTTGTTGCTCTAGCACTAATATTTGTATGATTAGAGCTACCATACTGGTTCAGAGCTTTAAAATCACTTATTGTTCCATCTTCTTTTGTGCATGGTTCATGATTTTTTGAATCAGAGTTCCATTTTTGTCCCTGGTTCTTTCCTACTAGTTGAACTTCTGACCTTGCATAATTGTCTTCCTTTGAACTCAGACCTCTTCCCCTTCCTCTTCCCCTGCCACTTTTAGGTTTGTAATTTTTTCCATCACTTAAATTTTTAGAAAATGCAATTTTCTGATTCTGAGGCAGGCCTATATTGTCTAGACTCTGTCTTAATGATGTGAGGTCAAATGGTTTATCTTTCCCAAGAAGTAAAGTTCCCAGAGATTGCTGACAAAGAAGGGAATCAATGCCTGAAATGTGAACTGGTTGGACCTGCAAAGGAAATTAAAGGATTAATTGCAGTGTGAATTAATTTGAACACTCAATATTCAAATAATAGTTCACAAAGAAGTTCTATTAGAATTAAATCTTTATGCAGTGCAGTTCAGTACATATTTACTATTAAGTTCAATAGCAAATTAATGAACTTCAATCTCTTTTAAAGAATTTAGCATTGAGAAAATGATACAATGATCATGATAATTAACTTTTCCTCTGCATACTACAACTGCTTATGTGTGTGAATGCATGGAAACATTCATGTGTGTAGATGAACATAATTATGTGCTTGCATGCATGAAATTTTCCTACCTTTTCAGGGTCGCTAAATGATGATTTTAGAAAAAGAACAGATTCATCTCCTTTTACTTGAAGACCACACACCTCACAAAATGTCACACAGACAGACAAACTATCAAACCACAGAAGATCTGCTAAGTGTTGTACTGGGTATTTCAAAGCTTTAGAACTGTATCCATGACTCATAACTTTAAGAGCTCTCCTGAAATAGGAGGAAGAAAAAAGTACAAGAGGCCCAAGGGCCTTATAGGTCACCTGAGCATTATGCAACAACTTTCCAGTGATTGAACTTGATTCATGTTTTAAGCCAGGTGCTATGGCATTCACAATTTTGAAAGAGGCACCATTGATCATCATAACTATACACTTAGCAGTTGCTTAGTTTGGTTACTTAATACCCATAGGCAGGGTAGAGGAACAAAAAATGCATTTCAACACATGAACCCTAACCCTTAGGCCTAGATCCACACATTGCACAATTCTTGAAAAGGCATCCCTGCTTTTCAAAAATATTTGATTAATACCAAGGAGCAGATAGCAATTCATTCATTTTCAGTATATAAGTACAACCCCCCTCCCTCTATGGTACCCCTGACCCTGGGGCCTTGAAATTCACAATTATGGAAGATTAGGAACCTTGCTCATCATAACTATATAGGTAGTTCATCTGCTTAATACCCAGGAGCAGGGAAGAAACTTTTCAAAGATTTAATGTATTTTCACTATACAATCAATAGAGCCCCGCCCTAACACCAGAACCCGGGACCCTCCGGCCATAAAATTCACAAATTTGGAACAGGCATTCTTGCTCATCATAACTATGTACTTAGTTTATTTAATACCTAGGAGCAGAGAAAACTTTTTTCAAAGAATTAATGTTTTTTCACTAGAAATTAATCAACAGAGCCCCGCCCTAACACCAGAACCCCTGACCCTGGGGCCATAAAATTCACAATTTTAGTAGAGGCTCTCTTGCTCATCATCACTATGCACCTAGTTAGTTTATTTAAAACCTAGGAGCAGGGAAAAAGATTTTCAAAGAATTCACGTATTTTCACTAAATATTCAAAATAGAGCCCCACCCTAACACCATAACCCCTGACCCTGGGGCCATAAAATTCACAATTTTGGTAGAGACACCCTTGCTTATCATAACTATGCAATTAGTTAGTTTATTTAACACCTAGGAGCAGAGACGAAGATCTTCAAAGAATTCATGCATTTTCACTATATAATCAATAGAGCCCCGCCCTAACATCAGAGCCCCTGACCCTGGGGCCATAAAATTCACAATTTTGGTAGAGGCACTCTTGCTCATCATAACTATGTACTTAGTTGGTTTATTTCATACCCAGGAGCAGAGAAGAAGATTTTCAAAGAAATAATGCATTTTCACTATATACTTATTTAGCCCCGCCCTAACACCAGAACCCCTGTCCCCAGGGCCATAAATTTCACAATTTTGGTAGAGGCACCCTTGCTGATTACAATCATGCAAACAGTTTGCCTGCTTGATGTCCAGGAGTAAAGAGGAAGATTTTTTAAGATTGCATTAATTTTAGTGGTTTTGGCCCCACCCCTCAGGCCCCAGGGGGGCAGGGATCACGAAATTCACATTTTTGTTCCCTTTCACCCATAGATGCTTTATGCATGACACACAACACACAACACACGACGCACGACGACGGACGAAAACGGATAGCAATAGGTCACCTGAGTAACTCAGGTGACCTGAAAATTTACAGTAGACTATCAGTAGAACACAATTACCATATATACTCGCCTACATTGTATAAGTCGATTGTATTTTTTGAGGTTCATTTGGAGGGATTTGCAATTGACCCGCTTTTTAGTCGGTACAACTTTTTGCCAGAATCATTTGACATTTTAAAGCAATGAACTAATGTTTTTAGCTGTTTTCTATTAATATTTTTCGAAATAGCACCGGTGTTTTATTTAAAATAATTAAAGAAATATTTTAAAGTGTAATGCACACTTAAGATAAAAATAAAACTATTAAAATAAGTAAATGCTTGTCCTTTATGTATAATCTTTGAATGTATAAATGGTTAAACATATAATAGACTTTGTTCTTCAGTAATCATCGAAAATAAACATGAAATGCTATGTTTACGTTTCATTTTCCTGAAAAATACTAATATTTTTATGACTCACCTATAAGTCGGACAAAGAGTTTTGGATTAAAATTCAACTCCCAAAAATTCGACTTTAGGCGAGTATATACGGTAAATTCAATAATGTGTAATGTTTAGGTTAATTCTACAATCAAATAATGATGAATTGATAAAATTATTCCTATCATCGTTAAACACATCATATCAAAACATTGAGTTTGAGTGAACCTGCACTTAGTGACTGACTTTTACTCAAAATATCCAAGTAATGTGCCCCTTTTTCTGAATAAAACATGACTAAATAAAATTCTTCTTTTTGCAGAAAGGCACACAAAAGTTAAAGGGTGGGGGAATAAAAAAAAATACCTATTACCTTTGTAACTGTGTTAGATTCCTGTGGAAGGCACACAGCACCAAAGGATGCCTGGTAAAGCAGGGAGACTTGAGACATTTTAAAACATTGATGTAGTTTCCAAAATAGTAGGCCACACTCAGCATGTAAGATCTCTTCACCAATTTATGTTCTCTGGAGAGAAAAAATGAATTCAAAATTATTGTTCCAGAGATAAGGCAAGATATAAAAATAGTTTTGATATTATTGCAACAAATTTTGAGGTCCAATATACATGATATATTTGTATATTTCAAAATCTAAATAATTTTTCTCACAAAAGTTATACCTGTCGTGTTATACAGGCTTTAAGACACCTCATACACTGTACACAGTTTACACAAAAAGTTCTGGTTTTGTTATATTTTTATGGAGTTAAAGTTTATATCTGTCCTAATATCTAAAATCTACAATAAACTCACAATTTGTAATCAGTTTTAGCATTCTCAGCATAGAAAAGGCCAAGATAAATTTTGACTGAACACTTTGATTGCATGTACTTTCCCTATTTGTCATGTTTGTAATTGAACAGTATGTATTAATGTCTTTTAATGTTCTTTTTCAAGACTCAAACAATCAATTGAGATTGATAAGAAGATATTTTTTTTTATTTTGTTTATAAAAAAAGTTTACCTTAAATCTTTAGGCAGTTCATAATAATGTTGTAAAGCTTCTGCCTGACCTAGATTGAAAATGAGATAGAGGCTCTCAAACTCTGCCCTGTTTTCTGGACAGAAATGACAGGTGGTGTAGAGAGAGAGGAGCTGTTTCAGACATTCCTGTGTATGCTGGTCATTTATTTTAGGGTCAAATCTGTCAAACTTCTCTTCACATAGTCTACAACAAAAATAAAAGAATATTTATAAAACATTCACCATTTACTTCTTTCCTGAATTCATTACATTGGTTTTTTTTTCACATCTACATAATTATTTTCATGATTTTTTATTCTTGACAATTTGTTTTTGGTGTTCATGATGTTTGAATATTATAACAGAGAAATAGATAATAAGATAAAGATGTTGATTATAAATAGAGTCTTATAACAATAATAAATGCATATCTTGTAAAAGATTTAGAATACTTGCATTATTATACATGTATACACGTTGATCGTGTTGATATTGAAGGAAATTTTTTTTTAAAAATGCATTTGTTGATGCTGTCAATTGAGATTCATAAAATAATGATTTATTTGAATCGAGAAAAAATATCACAATATCCTATTTAGCTTGACTAGTGGGTTAACCCTTTAGCTCAATTGGTAGAGCACTGGAATGGCAAGCCAGAGGCCACGGGTTTGATCCCCAGCAGAGGCAATAAATTGTTTCTGTTTTGTTTGGTGCCAATGTTGGGACCCTGGTGTTCTCTGGCAGGTGAGAGTGATTGCCCCTAGAACTTCGACCCACGAGCATCGGCACTTCAAAGGAGATGAGGACATCTCATTCTCTGGATGGGGACAATGTAGTCATGTAAGATACATGGCATCCTACTAGCTTGGACTAGTTACATATACATGTACATTGCACTGAATTTTTCCCAAAAATTTTCATGCCATAAAGAGTTGCATATTATACATGTAGCAAAATATGAAAACATCCACATTTTCCATTTTGCTGAATCAACATGCAGTTACATTAGCAATATATTGAGACGTAACCTATTTTCGATAGTATCCTAATTTCGATAGGCTAATGTTTTTAACAATAAATCAGAAAACCTTTCATAATTTTTTGAAACTCTTATCCCAAAATTATCACCAGATGTAAAAAGTGTAATAAAGCCAAAAAGATCGAAAATTATGCCATTTAGAGAGGTAAGATTTTATTTTTCTTTTTATCTATTCAAATCACGCTATTTTCTCATAATGCCAAAAAAATTCACTCTAAAACCCTATCTCCTAAGCCTGAAAACAACATTTGATGTTTAAATGTTATCGTCTGTTAAAAAGCTCTGTGTTATGGCTTAAAAATAGATAAGCCTCACTTTGAGCAAACTTCCGCTTAAAAAAAATAAAGTATGGAGGCCTGTTACAGGTATTTTATTTTAAATTTTGACGTCTTTTAATGTTTTAAGTTTTGTTTCTGTTGATTTTATTGTTCGTTTTTTTGTAGATATTTTCCATTAAAAGGGGAAATTACAAGAATTATTATAGGGCAAAGGCTGTGGACAATGTATTTCAAGCAGACAATGGCTCCTGACTTGAGATTTCAATTTTATAAAATTTCAACCAAAAAATAAAAAAAAAATAATGTTATAATTAAGTATATTTTATTTGTTGTTAAGATTATAGTTGAAAACAGGACAAAAAAATCCAATACCAGAAAAAATGACAAAAAACAAATAAAAGAAAACAAAAACCCACACAAAATAACATAATTTGATGTTTTAATGACAATAACTGTGCGCCATACTTGCTATTGAAAACAGGTGACGTCATTTAAAAACAACTCGGATTATGGCGGATCCAAAGAAAGTTGAAACAGTACTGAAATTCTTGATTTCAAAATCAAATAAATGTCTGAATATATTTATTTATTGTTGACTTATAATACATAAATAATTGCGGTGAGAAAAACATAGATGCCTAGATTAAATTTTTAACTAAAGTTTTACACTATCGAAAACCGGTAACGCCAGGATACTGTAAACCAACTATTATTCACCTCATTTTTTATTCACGATTTGTCAATTTGAAATCATGCAATCTGCGATGATTAATTTTTGCAACTGAGGAAACATTCCCAAAAAACATTTAAGGAAAATGAATTGTTCACAGCAATTTATATTCACGAGTTAGAATAGGTCACAGAACTCATGGATATTTCTCATATGCGAATAAAAGTGTTTACAGTACATTTCATTTGAATACCTATATCCAGAATATATGTAGAACCTGACAATGTATTCTAGGAGTGTTGTCGCCTCTTGGCCCTCCATCTCTTGTATTGTCATGTCCTGTCTCACCGCCCTCAGTCTGTCAAATATAAAATCATACACCTCACTCCAAGGCCTTCCTTCTACCACTGAGACCCTGCAACAAACAAAAAGTATTACCACTGTAATTTGTACAGATGTTTTATAGAAAATCGACTGAATATATGACAAACTAGAAAACTGACCAGTCAGCAAGGGCCCCGCCATGGGTAGAATTAAAAGGGTGCAGCTTACAGAATGATTAATAAATGTATGAATTGTATTCCTAAAATTTCAAGATAATTCCTGAATATTCAAAAACCTGAAAATAATATCCTTGTATTTACATTAGGCAGTAAAGAACAACTTAACATTGAATGTATATTTAAACAATTATGAAGCTTGTGTTATATAAAATGCCAGCCTTCAATGAATGCAAATATCATGAAGGCTTGACCTTAACTTCAAACAAACAGCAGTTGCAGACAAAGGTTTTCATTAATCTTAAAGCGACAGATAAAGAAAAGCCTACTAAATTTTCTGCAGCAGGCTAGATAATTAGTCCCAAGGGATTAATTGTACCTCTCTCATCATTTTCTTCTAAATTTACAATAAGAACTTTTTCATTATTAATGATAGAATGGGGTTTTTATACAACTACATTAAAAATCAATTATATTCTTGAATTAATATATTAAAAAAACAGTGAAAAAGTCAATCAAAAAATCTTCCTTAATCTATTTCTTCTTTTTTAGAATTCAATGAAATCATAAGTTCTATCAAACAAAAATAAATAATAAAAATTTATATTTAAATCCACATTTCAGAGTGTTCATAGCATTCCAAATTGATTTAACTTCAAAACAAACTTCATTTGCAGACAGAGGTGGTAATTAATCTCAATGTGACAGATAAAGATAATGCTCTGGATTTTCTTCAGGAGGAAAGCTAAAAAAGGGACTCCTAGCAGCATTCAGTTTACAATGGGAACATCTTCAGCAGTTATCTCTCTTTGCCAATGCATTCTTATATAAAGTTAAGGAATCTACCCCACCACCCCAGCTCCAAACCATGGGACATAGAGAACCAAACTTAGCATCAAAATATGTATTTCTGCCTACTGAACCCGTACCAAATTTGTACTTGATTGGGCTACCATAAAAAAAGTTGCCCGTTCATTCTTATGCATAGTTAAGGAATCTACCCCACCAACCCAGCTCATAACCAGAAGACATAGAGAACCAAACTTAGCATCAAAATATGTATTTCTGCCTACTGAACTACCATACCAAATTTGAACTTGATTGCAAATAAAAAAAGTTATTAGAAAAAAACTGTAATTTGTACAGATGTTTTATAGAAAATCGACTGAATATATGACAAAAATGATCTTTATTTACATGGGTAAAAAATAGTAGAAAAATGGACTTTGATAAGGAAGTATCCTAAAATGATTTCATCTTACATGTACCTGCCTAATTAGTATTCTGCACTGTCTTGTGAGAAACAGAAATTGTGCCTATTTGACGAAGTTTAATACAAGAATTGGTTCACTTTACCTGCCTTAAAAGTATTCTTAAAATTAATTAGTGAGTAACAACATTACCTGCCTAATAAGTATTCAACAGTTGAGAGTAACACTGGGCTGGGTCTAAGGTCCTGGGTTGGAATCTCATGTCTGCCTGCTGCTGATCTACTGTATTCCTTGACCATCAAATCTGGGTCATTGATCAGCCTTTGAGGGGGAAAAAATGACATTTTGTTTATATAAAGCATGTATGCAAATATATATATGTTTAGTTTTAGGAGGGGGCCCGGGGATGGGGGGGGAGGTCAGGGGCAGTTATGGGTCGGGGTAGGGGCCCACAGCAACACTAAAACAATTATTTATTAAATGTTATGTATATTTTGGACACTTAATCTGCCAGTGATGTGCATGACTAGTAGAATAGGTGAAGGAACATTTTATTTTGAGACAATTTTACAGCTTTATTTCTTCTTTTAACCATGTTAACTTACAGTTATTTAACCCAATTTTACAATAGAAACAAAAATCAGTTTTAAGTCAATGGCTGACCATGTGAGCCTCAATGCCTTTCTTTCAGGATAAAAACAAAACTATGTAATCATTATGAAGTTCATTTGGTTTGACAACAACAAAAGTGCATCCTGCATCTCAAGTTCTAATTAACCTCGTTACTTCTAATCAATTATTTACATTGTATGTACAGTTAATAGCAAGTGCAGCGAGAGTCTTGAAGCAATGCTTGTAACTGCTATTGCTCTATCGACAACACTTAGGCGTTGAGAAAATTTGGACTACTACACATTCATTCTATAGATTTTTTTTTCCGCAGTTACTCAAAAGTTAAACAAATAATACAATTGATTTCTAATGAATATATTGCAAACAAATAGACAATAAAACAATATCAGACAATAAAATGGTTCTTCGGCCGCATTAGTCGATAAAAAAAAGCAATTTTCGCCAGCTCAGCACTTTTGAAAGCTGTGGGTCCTTCAGATGGTAATGCAACATAAATCACTGCTCAACATGCCATAAAGGTCAAAATTTGAAGCCCTTCACCGGCATACGATGATATCTCCATATGTATTGAGTGAAAAATTCTTGAGAGGGACGTTAAACAATATACAATCAATCATTAATATCAGCAATTTTCATGCTTTGATTTGGTAATGCAACATAAATACAACATCATGTGACGTCAGAGTCTAGATGAATCAAATGCCATGTGTGGTTTGACGAACCCAACCTAAATTAAAACTGAATAGCTGTGCTCTCCCTAACGGTCGCTCCTTCAACATATTAATATCTCAAGCTTGTTTACATTCATGAGAATTATCTTATGACACACAAGACAACAATTAATTTAAAATACAAAAGGATAGCAAAAGTTTACTACAGTTTTTTTTATCACTTTAAAGTAAATGTATTAGTTTTAATTTCAATTCAATTCAATTCAATTCTTTATTTGCACTAAAGCACATATTTATATACAGGAAAGTGTTGTTGGCCAAATATTGTAAAATATTAAACTATTGTAAGCTTGTTTCTAATATCAAAACAGTCTCTGATATATAGACAGATTTGTTTTGTAGATACAAGTTATGTGGATTAAGCAAACAAGATAAGGTATTAACATCTAGTAACCTTGAATACTTATTTCTGACATTTTTATACACAGGTCAATCAAGTAAAAAGTGTTTTTCATCTTCAACAATAGTTTTACATTGGAAACAAAATCTATTTTCTCTAGGAATGACAGGATTACAATATCTACCTGTTTCTACATACAACTTATGTGCTCTTATTCTTAACTTGGAAAGATAAGAAAATAAATTCTTATGAAGTGGAAAACACAAGTAATTTAGATATAAAATGTCCATCCACCCAGAACATAACCAATATCCTGAATGAGTAAAATATACTTACTTTCCAGCCTTGAAGACCTTTTCCAGTGGATGAACAAGTTCTTCTTTAATCCTCCTTAAAAAATTAAACTTTTCAAGTCAATTAACAGGTCCAGCATAATACCCCGATAAAGGTATATAGCTTGATAAAGCTATATTGCTTTATCAAGGTATTTCAAATTCCTTGATCAAGGTATTTTATGTAATGAAAATTCAAAAAAATTCTTTAAAAATTAAATACTGAAAGTTGAGTTCTGAGTTTTTGTCACTGTGTCTACTCGTGCATGAAAAACACTCTGGTGAGTGGTATTGAAAAGAAAGCATAAAATAACGTCTCCTCACACGACACGTTTTTATACTGATTTGTTTGTGTTTGAGTACTTCATATGCATGGGTGAACTTACTGACAACAACTCAGAACTCGACTTTCAGTAATTAATTTTTAAAGAATTTTTTTGAATTTTCATTACATAAAATACCTTGATCAAGGTATTTTAAATACCTTAATAAAGCTATATAGCTTTATCAAGCTATATACCTTTATCGGAATATTGTGCTGGACCTGAATAAAGTACAGAAAATGTTATTTATTGTTGATGTTGTTGGAGAAATAATTACATATATTAATACAACATAAGTGACATATGCAACTAAAATTCTGATTACTGTTAATTTTCCCTGTTTTTACTGAAAAAAGGAACAATTCCTTTTTTTCAGAAGAAATGAAGTATGCCCACCTTACGAATATTGTAGAAACAATGATGCGCCTGTGTTCTTTTTATAAACTAGTTTACTGAATATAACACCGTTTAAGAAAAAAGTCTGTGATAAGAAGTTTTTGTTTGTTAAAAACTAATGCCAAACTCAAAGATTTCAGCCTGTTTCTAATTCATTTTCACTGTACTGATCAAATTGTCAATGTATACTCCTGTGAGGAAATCAATCCAAGGAAATCAAAGCAGACAGGTTGCACCCCTCTTCTACGTGTTCTTACATTTTAATCTCGTCGACAGGACACATTCGATTGCATTCTCCGATAAATGATGTCAATGATGATTTTTCCATCATAACATAAAACTTGTTCACTGTCAATTACCTTCTTCTATCAAAGCCGTTATGTAAACTCCGAAACAAACGTATAAATGATTCAGACTAAAGTTTATATAATACAAACCAATATTTATATATTTCCGGAAATGTATCAAACATGTAATTTGTATTTCATATCATAGACCTAAAGCGATTTAAGTCTATGTTCATATCAGCTATGTTTATTAAAAAAAATACACGGCCGTAGGAACCTAATAATTTTACCGATATATAGAATACTACTTAATATTTTTTAAGCTTTTGAAGGAAGATTGCTAGATGATAGTGCCCCCCACGTATGAAAATGTTTGGCTGTGCCCCCCCCCCCCCCCAACTGAAATCGCTTCCTAAGTGCCTGGAAAATGACTGTCATTATCCCAACCCAAATAAAATGACCTGTCATTATCTAGGCTTTCCTCTTCTGTCTCTGTTACTGAACGGTCATAAAATCATGCAAACAAAACTGGGAAAAAACATGCAATAAATAAATATTATATATAAGAAATTCTGAATAATATATACATTTGAGAAAAATACATGTGAATTAAAAGTACAAAATGAATAAGAAACTAAAAAAAAAAAAAATCAAATACGAATTCTTTTTAGTTTATTTATTTTTAAGTATCTTAATCAATATCTATTTATTGATTTATTTATTTTGTATAACGTATATATGTACATGTATTTTGATTTATAGAATTAGATTATAGAATATACATTCAAAACATTTGAAATGAAATAACTTTGACCATTTCTAAGATGTTCTAAATACATGTATAGATTTAGTATACGTAGAAGCAAATACATAAAAAAGAACATAAAAAGTTTTTAATTGTCTGCCAGTCCTTATTCAATATATATGCATATATTTTCTAAAACTCAGCATCGTCCATATGTACAACTGTACATTTGCATTTAAAAAAACTCAATTTTCTATTAAATTCTTTAGAGTTTATGAATGATTATAACCGGTTTCCACTTAAATGGAATCGTATATATTACACTACACTGCAGCTGTGCATTAGTATCTCTTTCTGCTTTTTATATGCATCTTCATCAATATAGAGAAGCAATGTTTAATAAAAACGAAAATATATTTTCAGGAAAAATAATTCCATGTAAATGTAAGAGTCATTGCACACTTAAGAACGACACATGTGTGACAAAGGAAATGGGTATTAATCCGGGACAATGATCAAAGCGCCTCCGGACAGATTAATTATAAATTGAACAGGTGTCAAGGACTTCAGAGTTAAACACTTGAGTAAACATTTATCTCTGGACGATACAAATAATTGCTTAATTGATTGATAAATAACTCTATTGTAAATATTATGTAATTGTATGTAATTTGCTGTTTTGTACATTTTATTCAGTTATCGGTTGGCTTTCGCCAAGACAGCCACGCTGGGCAGCGCTCTCGTCCGCTATATGGCGGAGCCTGTCCCTTTTGTTAATAAATCTGTTAAAGCTGCACATTGGAGTTCCGTATTATACATTAGTGTAGTGAATGCACAACTTAGACGGTTATATTTGGGGAGAATCCGGTCTTTTCCGCCCTTTCATTGCCAGCGAGTGCCTACCCAGTGACGTTAATTCCCCAAAATAAGCGTAATGGAGGTTCCCCGACCGGATAAATTTTGTGCGCACACCATCGCAGATGCGGATCTTTGGCTCCAAATGTTCAAGCTGTATGGATCATTTCGGCAATGGACAGATGTAGAAATCTTAAGAGCTTTCCCATTGTTTTTAGAACACTCGGCCATTGTGTGGTATATGGGACTTAACGCGGAGTATGGCACGCCAAATTCACAAAAATGAGCTAAACATAGTTTTACAGTCGATAAACTAGGTTTATGGGTTATTAACTATAGTTTACGGACTGTAAACTATAGTTAACAACGTTAATCTATATTTTACATCTGTAAACCATAGTTAACGCGATAATCTATGTTTCACAACCGTAAACTATACTTAACACCGAAAACAATCATTTGCGATTGCAGAACATAGATTATCTGATAAATACAGATTCACGATTTGTAAACTATAGTTTACAAACCGTTAACTATAGTTAACGATCTGATAAATATAGTTTCACGATTTGTGAAACTATGATTAACAACTCTTAACTATAGTTTAGGATTGTAAACTATAGTTTACAAACGTGAATCTATGTTTATCAACAAAATCTATTGTTAACGCTTATTACAGACAGATAAACTTAGATTAGCATTCGTAAACTATAGTTAACAACCGTTAAATATAGTTTTACAGATGAAAACTATACTTAACGAATCGTTAACTATAGTTTACGGTTTGTAAACTATAGTTTACAGTCGATAAACCTAATTTATCAATTGTGAAACTAGGTTTATCTCATTTTTGTGAATTTGGCGTGCCATAGCGGAGGTTAAGAGTAATTGTGAACATCTATTCAGTGCCTTCTTAGATCGTTACGGACCAACTTATTTTGACAAAAGTGATGCTATACAAAATTATTTCCACGCAAAACAGAAGCAGAGTGAGTCCGTATCATCGTATCTAGCTAGACTTGAAAGATACGCGTTATGGGCTGGAGAAGGAGCAAACAGATGCCTGACAAAGGAAATGGGTATTAATCCGGGACAATGATCAAAGCGCCTCCGGACAGATTAATTATAAATTGAACAGGTGTCAAGGACTTCAGAGTTAAACACTTGAGTAAACATTTATCTCTGGACGATACAAATAATTGCTTAATTGATTGATAAATAACTCTATTGTAAATATTATGTAATTGTATGTAATTTGCTGTTTTGTACATTTTATTCAGTTATCGGTTGGCTTTCGCCAAGACAGCCACGCTGGGCAGCGCTCTCGTCCGCTATATGGCGGAGCCTGTCCCTTTTGTTAATAAATCTGTTAAAGCTGCACATTGGAGTTCCGTATTATACATTAGTGTAGTGAATGCACAACTTAGACGGTTATACATGCGCAGATGATTTATTTGAGTGATTGGTAGTTTGACGACAGACTACGATCGCCGAGCTCTTCGTATTCACTGGAACCACTTTCGGCACTTGTTATATGGATGACGCTTAAATAATTTTCCTTTTCTACAGAAAAATGATTTATTTCATTTCTTTCTTTCCGCTTCCTTTTCGCAGCTTTTTCCTCATTCCTACAAAAAAGAAAATAATTAACATTCAAACATACATCATCGTCGTAAACCCACGGGTATACGAGATCACTCGTGGGTTTCCGACGATGACATGTATGAACATGTGGAAAAAGTTCAACTTTGAAATTCATTTTAAAAAGTATATACATATTTTCAAAACCCCATGATTCTTGTTGTTTTTTGGTCGTTGAATATATTTTTGTGTAAGAATGAACATTTACCTCGCTGAAATATATTTGCATCACAAGGTACAGGTGTATTTGAACACCATTTGTCTAATATGTCTAAATGCGCGGATCTAGAGCTAGGGTGTCGGGATGGGGTGGCCCCTTCTGGAATTTGGAGAATTATTGAATGTATAATTATAATAGCCCAACTAGAATTGACCTTGGAACCCCCTAGAAAACGCTTGTCAAAAATTTCTAGGTTGGACCTTTTTTTACTGAGGTGAAAAAAAATATTGTATACTTATAAAATCATTTATATAACACATGCCATATCCTTAGTAAAAATCCAATCACAACCAACACAATCAATAGGTAACCCGCTCCCAATCCTCCAATGATGAAAGGCAGGGTGCTGTCAGGAGGAGGGTCACTGAAACGCTGCTACAAATATGAATATATATGGATTTTTACTATGCTCTGAAACAAACAGTCCAAGGTACATGTATACAATGCATGAAATTGGCTTTTCACTTAATTGATACTTTAAAAAAAAGACAGGCCTATACGATCTAAGATTGAAAGGAAGAATTGAATTTTAAGCTAACATTTGTGTAATTTATTTAAAATTAGATGTTAGATCCGCTCGCACACTTCCTACACTAATATGAGAGCGGACCTAACATCTGTGAGAGCGGATCTAACATCTAATTTTAATTAGATTGACATTTGTGTGTCTGACATTAAATGAATCAGGAAAGAAAAGTTATCATTAGAATAAGTCATCATATATTTTTTTTCTGTTTCCGGAGGAAAATAAAGGAACATTACCTCTCATTTGCCTATTAGTCTGATCATCTGTCAGTTGGTTTAACTTTTGTCATAAATTTTGGATAAGAATAATAAGCGTTTCTGAATTTCCTAGGATTTTTCAGCATTTGAAAAACGAAGTTGAAGTTTAATTTTTTTCATAAAACTATTCATACAGAATACTTTTGAACGAGAAAAAGGGCATTCATATTTGACAAGTGCATTTGATAAGATCTAGACTTCAAAACGTGAAATCCATTTTTGACCCATTCTTCATGACATTGAGGTTAACTTTATTTTGATTTTTTTTTTATCATTCTTACTTAGTTTAAATACATAGAAAGGGAAAAAATTGTAAGACTGCTTTAATAAGCCATGATTAAATGAACCCGACCAATAAAACAACGATTTCAAAGAGGGGGTCAATTTTTTTTTTTTTTTTTTTTTTTTTTTTTTGGCGTGTTTAAAAATCAAATACAGGTAATTGCGTGGACCCTGAGGTCCACGCAGTAAATATATAAGCGAGGTTAAACCGGATGCCATGGGCAAACGACAGGCTACGCATGCGCGAGAATGCTACAGAGTTCGTCCCTTAGGCAACTTGCCCGTAGAATAATTCGCTCTATTCGAATATGCCATTCATCGGCAAATCGCGCTTTTAAATCCGCATATTCATTGACGGATCCGAATTTCTCTCTTATACAAAAAATATACTTTTATATACAAACTAAACATTGATTCTATGGCACAAGCATTTTAAAAAGTAGGAAGAACTTGCAGTATATACATGTAGATGCATGTAACTTAACAACTTGATTAAAAAACGTCATTCAACGACTAGTTCTAGCTTTTAAAAGATAAAACAAATTTTCACCGGCATTAGTTTTAAGCATAACTATAGGCTCGCAAAATAATTTGATATTTCAGCAATCCAAATACCGTTTGACAGAGGTTTGTAGCAAAGGTTTTTAATTGGTGGGGGGGGGGCTCCCACACACAAAAAATCTGCGTACTACAGAGCTGTGCTACACGTGTACCATCAGATCTATTTTTCCCATGATAGATTTCTTCCGTATAAATCCATAACAGTTGTCAAGTCCTGGCCGTTATGGGTTACATGTATAGAAATAACCCGATTTTTTAGACTGACAAAACTAAAGGCTGATCGGAGATAAAATTAAACAACTTTGCTTAGAGACTACAATCAGTCATAAGTAAGCGAATCATTGTAAAATGTGAACAAACCTACATGAATATTCACTACACCTAGAAATTTTCTTAAACTTAATTTCTGTTAGAAACACATGCATATGGTCCACGTATTGCAGTCCTTTTTTAAAGGACAGCAACTTGTTTTTATAAATAAAAAAAAAAATATTCCTACACAAATCTTTAAGAAAAAATTCTTAAATTCCTCATGTTTTACTGAGCGGGCATTAAAAAAATCGATGTGTCGCGGCTGCGTGAGATGTTGGACCTGCCGATGAAATGTTGGAAAGTTTACGTCACACAATGGGCGGAGCGTAACTTATTTGCATTCGTTGATGTTTAACACGGATCTGGTGTTTACATCATGGAAGACAGTACGAGATGCATGTATGTAAAAAAATTAAAATAAAAGGTATAACAAAACATGTATTGACTGTGTTCTCGGGAAAAATGTGTTTCGTCGACCCAAGATCCAAGCTGTCTCCCTTCGGCCTAACGGCCTCAGGCAAGTTTTACGTCACTTTCAAATTGGTTCTTGGGTCCGAAAAAAAAGCATGTTGCACTCGAACTCAGTCAATAATGTATAATGTTCACAGACTCACCGAAGTCCCGATAATCGTACAAGCTCCAGTAATGTGATGACAGGTAAAATTAATACAGGACAAACTGCAATTGTTTAAGCAACTGAATCCATAGGTTGATGGGCTACATTCTAAAACAGTGTATGAATAAATACAAATAATATAATAACTGAAGATGACAATCAAAGGGAGTTTGTTCATACATTCCACAAAATTTATTTATCTCCATCCTGAATAATATTTTAACTAATTTGATACCTTTCAAAGTCTTTAAATTGATCAAGAAATCACAATTTGATTTTTAAGTTTGAAAAGAAGAAGTTCTTTTATTTAAGCTTTTAAATATCGGTAAATATGTATTATTAATTTTTACCGGCAGTGCAGAAATAAATTGTATGAAACAATACCGCCCACCACCATATTTATATGTGTACCTGTTTTACAGAGGTCCCCCCTATACCCAGCGTCACATCCCTCAGGACATGAGCCGTTGATGTGGTGACATGTTTTGTTACCCAGACAGGCTCCACATCTTAATTCACAATCCTGTCCATATCTGCCGTCATTACATTCTATTAAAAAAGATTTTAAAGAGAGGGTTAAACTTTTTATTGAGTACTGAAAACAATATTATAATAGAAGTAGTGTAAATCGGATGTGAATATCAATTAAAAAAAAAAAAACTAATGGGATATTTGATAAGGAAACACTTTAAACAACAATTTTTTCCACGATATATGAAAACCCAACCCTTACAAAAATACTATAGTTTACTATTTAGCCAAAGTAAATCAAAGTATCAAATTAAATTATCACTATAGTAAATCAAAGTGTTCACTGTAGTTTCAAAGTGATCACTAACTAGTGAATCAAAGTTTTCAAAGTGATATCTATAGTGTCTTAGTTTTTACTATAGTCATTCAACGTTTTCAAAGTAGTCACTAGAGTAAATCATTTAGATTTTACTATATAGTAAATCAAATCTTTCATAGTGATCACTTGTTAATCAAAGTTTTCATAGTTATCACTCACTTTAGTAAATCAAATTGTCAAAGTCACACTGAAAATTTAAGTTAGTCACCATGACCTAAAAATGTAATCAAATTGATTGTCCTCCAGATGAGGGTGCAGTTAGTCAATTAGACAATATGTTAAGCTCATTTTGACGACTCGAGAAAAATCAAACTGACTAACTCGATAGTCTACCTTGACTAATTGAAAGTCACCATGAGTACACTATAAGGATTTCATTTGACTGTATTCTTGTCATAATGATAGATTCCGATATTCAAAATGATTATCATTTCATATCAAAATGACTTTCAATTAGTTATATTTCTAGGCATTTTGACGATATTGGAAATCATGATGACGATGCGCGTTAAATCATTTTGATTATCACGCATCAATCCCTTCTGATACAAAATATAACAATTATACAACTAATATTTGAACTTTTTATTATAAAATTTCTGTTTTATAAATATGGTTATTTCAAGCACCAAATATACACAAACGTATAAACCGATCATCTTATAATAAAAAACAAAAGATTTGCATATAAACATTGTAAAAAGTTAAAAGAAATCATATACACCTACATATATAGCATACATAGATATTTATATACTAGTATTTTCAAGCAAATTAATTTTACTGTTTGTAAATGATTTCTAATCAATCAAAGAAATAGCTTCAGGTAACAGTCTCTTGTTGCACCCTTTCAGTTGTCGCTTTGTTTTCCTACCTCAGAGAAATATATTTACAGGTTGTTTTATTCTTTGATCATTACAGATTCTTTTTCACAGCTCCTGCAATGGAGAATAGTCTTCTTAATTTATACAGCTTGATAGCAAAAGTAAAGTAGGCCTAAATGAAAACAAATTTATTTATATTAAAAGGAAATCAAGATATAAATATAGTAAATAGATATATATGCAGTATTAAGAAGAAAATAACGGGTACCATAATATTAGTCGTTTAATACATACAATTAAAATGAATAAAAAATTATATTTACCTTTGCAAACATGGCACATAAGAATGAAATCATCATCAGTTTTGTTTTCTTCTTGTTTGGCTGTTTTCGTCAGAAATTGGTCAACTACAAACCATTGCGATTTCATTTAAAATGCCTTTAATATCATATACATGTGTTATAAACAAAAAACATGGAATAATACGAACAATATTTAGTGAAGCAGGCCAGTATAGTCAGTGGAGAGTTAGTACATAAACATCAGGGACTCGTCTATTTGTATTTTCTTTTTAAAAATAGAATGTTGAAAAATAACAAGTTCTATGTAAATCACCATTATACTTAAAATATAAGCTATCAGTACGTGTAATCCTACCTTATTTCTTCTATTCATGGTAACATCTTCTTGTACCTAATGTGGTTTACATCTTGTCTATATTCGTAGCAAGGTATTGTATTTTGATTTATTTGTCCATTCAGTGGTAGTTGAGAGTCCATGCCATACCTGTGAGTTGTAAAAGAATAATAGCTATTTAATAATCGTTGAATTTTAGACCAAGTCCAATTTGAACGTTTGCATAAATTGAATATGAAAAAATCCACTTGAACACAATCAAACCACATCCTAGCCTACATGTATCATTATGATAATAGTGTAAAATACAATAATTATTGAAGAAAAATATCGAGTACTTTGTTAATTATAGTATTATTTCTCGGTAGAACATTTTTTGAATAAGTTTATTATAGAATTATTTGTCTAAAACAAGAAAACAACAAAATATGACATACCATCACTTCGTGTTTTCCTGGGAGGAAAAAACCGACGCTATTGTTTCTTCCCGCCAAACAATATAAACAAAATGACCAGGATACAAGTCAAAGTTTACCAAAGACTGGTAATATATAACTTATGTATTGACTAACTGAACGGAAGAAAATGACTTCAAATCTGGTCAACGTGACAAACTTATGTTTTCAGTGCATCACTATAATTAATCAAAGGGTCAAAATTATCCATTAAGTAAATCAGTTTTCATATGGTCAAAGTTATCACTATAGTTAACTTTATTTCACTATTGTAAACTTTTGTTAACGATAGTATTATTATGTTAGGGTAAAGATTTTTAGTATCATTGGCAGATGTTTTTTTAATTATAATTTAATGCAAAAATTTATTTATTTTTTTGTCAGTGACATTTGCAAAATTATTTTGCTAAAATTTTCCCGTATGTCGCAGTGGTTAGAACGTCTGCTGTAGAGTCGCGAAGTAAGGAATTGATCCTTACATCGCAGAATCGAATCAATATTAAACTTGTAAAATAAACGACTCTTAAATATTAGCCATTTTGAACTAATTGACAGTTATAATCAATATTGTTTTTGGAGATCATATCTTCGAGCAATCTGTTATGAGGAAAAGAAATATCAGATATAGCTCGAGATATTCATTTGAATTAGGAAAAAATACAATATTAAAACCAAAAAGAAACTTACCATATCCATATATACATGTACAAACTAAACAAAAAACCAACAAAAATATACATGCATCAAAATTAACCGAAGGCATGTTCAAATAAACACTCTCTACAACAAGGAAGTGACAATAAAGATTCTGCATTTTAAAAAAGAGACACAGGCGAGTCTATTCCTACTAGGTTAGGGGGAGGGGGGTAAATTTTGTCAAATGGCATTCATATTTACTGCAAGCTCATAATTTATTGATTATTGTAGTTATTGGATGTATGTATACAGATAATAAAAATGAAATAAAAATGAAATAAAATCCTTTGTATGTTCAAAAGAGGACTTAATATTGAAATAATCAGATGGAGACACACCGTACATATACCTGTAACTTCCAACAATGCATATCATATTTTGCATTACAACAATATTTATGTTTAAAGGACCAATGTGATTTGACACTCTCTTTAAATGGGAGAATAAGGACAGGTGCACTATTCATTTATCACTGCCTGCTGTGTAAAAACTGCCTGTTTATAATACCTGTTTCTTTAAACCTTTATTTTGAAATATTATCTCGTCAAAACGGTTTCAGATCTTACAAGGGGTTCAGATGAATGTGTCCCGAATATAGGTCAAGTATCTACCCACTGAATATAAAGAGCAAATACATAATTATGTAACATCAAATACTCCACTATCTTGGATACATTGGACCCGAAACAATGCATAACCATAAAGCTGCAGTCTCACCAAAAGTTCACTTTAAAAAAAAATTGTTCCAACCTTGAATTTTTAAATCAAACATATTAAAAATAAAGCTTAATTCATAAGTTGATTAACAGATCATTTTTATGATCATGCATAAATTTTGCATTAGTTACCTACCCATAGCAAATTCAAAAGGACTTTATATGCCATAATGACTAATATTTGCCCCAAAAATAAAGCTTTGACGGAGAAATATATAACTATGTTTTAAAACAGGAAGGATATCTGCAGACTTCAAAACACTGAATATTTTCATATATGAAAAAATATATAATCCAGCCATCCATTTTTTGTTTGTATCATCTGTCCGTAAACTATCGATGTTCTGAGTCTGGATGTTTTGATATTTAATTACTACATCATATACTAAACTCTTTACTGAATTAAAACACGCCATAAAGATTGAAACATGGTATCTGTTAATCAACCATATAATTAAAATTCCTATTATGATACATTATAAGCCATTTAGGGATGTCAAATGGCTATTAGTGGCCTTAATGCATCAGGTTAAACAAAAATGTATTCCGATTTCTATGTTGGTATCGTACTAAAATAAAAAAAATAAAAAAAACAGAGTTTCATTATATATGTCATTTTTTTTTACATATATATATATATATACACTAGACAAAATTGCTAACGTACCACCTAAGAAAATTAATATTTTACTTTTAAAAACCTGTTTATGATGTATTTGAATTATAGATATATTACTTAAAACAAAAGGTAAGCCATATACTAGTAAATGTCAAACCTTATAAATAAGTACAATGTTTACTGAAGTGTGACCAATTCATAGAAAAAAATAAAATTGTGTCTATTCCATTTTCCTAAAAAAAATCCAATTTTTCTTTGTATTTGTGTTTCTCTCTTTGTACTAATTAAAAACTCAGGAAAAAAGTTACGGCGTATGCGGTAATTGACGCTTGAAGAGAGTGCTAAAGCAATGAATTCCACTTATGATAAATTGTTACAGATAGATTAACAACCATAAAAATGTTTACTATAGCATGTATAGGTAGCCACGACTTTAAGTAAGCAGCATGCAATAAGTAGAAATATGTTCCACAAAACTAGGTCAACCGGAAGTTGAGTGGATTTGGTATGGATATTAAGGCACCGGATGATTACTAGACGATGTGAGAGTCAATAATTGTTTGTAATTTGAGTTTTAGCTGGGGAACTACTCCTGTAGCATCTTCACAAACCACCGTTAGTGTTCAAGAATTTCATATCTTGGCAAAAATGGTGCGCAGTGCACATCTGGAAATTGGTTTTTGGACAAGGAGGTCATTCAAGGGTCTTTTCATGATACCAAGACATTTGTCAATCCGACTGTTTTAGAAATAATGGCATATTATATACACTAGTACCGACTCGGCAAATTATCAATTTACAATTAAGAACTAACAGGTGCTGCGTTAGAAATTTTGTCTAGTGTAGTGTATACAATTTACATTTTCTAGGCATGTGTATGTTCCTCATATTCAGACGCCACTATCAACCATCGGCGGGCGGATAATTCAAGAGAGCTTTGCATTTTATCTTCACTATGAGCACTGCAACAAGGGGCTACGATAAGTGTGGTCCCATTAAAAGCACCGGTCTTATAGTTAGATTCAAACCTGAAGGGCAAGGTCAACTTCTTGTTACATGTACATGTGCGACTCAAGGGCAAACGTTTTCGCAAAAGAATTTAATTCTAGGAAATGCAATTAATTAAATTTATTTTGCTGGGCATGTTTACGTGTGTAATTAGTCCCACGAATAAAGGTAAATGTAGGTAGAAAAATGGTACAGTATACTCAAAAATGAACACATAACATGTAATGCACCATAATATTCTAAGTGATTTTTTAGGAAAAATGCAAAATCACTTCGGCAGCGTACTCAATATTACCTGAAAAATTATTTTTAGAACTGTACTATTTTCATGAAAGTTCAATCAAGTTCACTACTTCTAACCTTTTTAAACTGCATCGATTGTAAGTTCATTCAGGTACATTTATATTTACTGCCTGGGGTTTATATTCCATATAGGGCTCTCTTATCTTAAGGAATTGCCGGCTGTGGTTGTGCCAAATAAACGGAATAAAACTTTTATATAATAATATTTGTAAGTATATACGTAGTATCTAACAAAAACGTTTATTTATCCTGCTAGGTAAATCGTAAATTCACAAATTAAACAAGTTTTCTTTTAATTAATTGTACATTTTTCATGATTTTTGCAATGAAAATAAATTCCTAAAAATCTGTTCATTGCTCGTAAAATCAAGCTAGTATTGAATCACTTCTAAGCAAGATGTATATGGATTGAAATAATTTCATTTCTTTTTGGTTTATGAAATCATTGTGTATTTTTATGTTTTCTAGTGTATATACACTGTATCAGTTGTGAAGAGATTTTCTAAGTTCTTCCGTACTATTTATTATCTCTCAATGACAGAATTTATCTATACTTCCAATCACTAGTAGAAATAACACCAATGGATTATACAGAGTGTATGTAGAATTTCAATACTATTATTCAAAGTATACAAGTACCTTGACACGGTTTTCGCATTCTCCGTTAGAAGAAAATTATCGAAAAAAAATTATCATATTAAGGACAGATGATACAAACAATTTTTTTTCTTTTGAGGAGACTTAATAGCATGTCACAAGTTTAGAAAAGTGGATAATTCTTAGAATTTTTTCACCTAAGAACTGGAAAATGAAATAAACTAGGAAAATATTAATAACATTCCAATATAATTACAAATATGGACGAAACACACTCAGTACAAGTTTACAGATGAAAACAAATTTCAGAATATGTTACCTTGGTGCTAAAAAAGTTATTTAAACTTTAGAAAAAATAAACAAAGCCAGGTGAATTTCTTTAAGAAAATCAAAATGGTAAAAATCAGTGTGTTTTTGCTGATTTTTTGTCATTTTGTATTTCTTCATAAAATTCACCTGGCTTGGTATATTTTTCTAAAGTTTATATTACACTTTTAGCACCAAGGTAACATATTCTGAAATTTGTTTTCACCTGTAAACCTTTACTGTGTGTTATTTGTCTATATTTGTTTTTTATGAACATATTACTGATGTTTTCCAATTTTTCTTTTTATTTTCCAGTTCTTATGAGAAAAAATGCTAAGAATTATCCACCTTCGTAACTTGTGACATGATATTAAGTCTATTTCAAAGAAAACAATTGTTTGTATCATCTGTCCTTAAGGTAGAAATTGGTTTCCTAGCGACTTCCTTATTTGACCAGATTTTAGAATTTCCGCGGGAAAACATAGGGGATGCTCACCCCTTCTAAGCATCTGATCCCAAATCTGAAAATTGCAGGGTTCTGTGTATATGCCCTTTTCACAATTTTGTATTTTTAAATGGATTTTTAGATCAATCACCGGCCGTTCTCTTTACACTTTTTACTTCCTTTATTTTTTTCTACTACAGCTTGTGCAATGCGTTTTCTGTTTTTATTTGGGCTTGCAGAGATAGTAGGTAAAGTACTAATTTTTCTTTTATAATTAAGACAAATCTTAATCAGAATAATTAAGTCACACATTAAGATCTCCTCGACTTGTTTATTTTTTTCCGAATGATAGTACATGTATATTTGTTTTATGCGTTGTATTTATTTTGTCTTAAATCAGACAGATCGATATATAAAAAAATTACTCTTATAGTTATTAAATAAGAGTTTTTAATGAAAATTATTACTCATACTTATCATAAGAAGCAGTTATTCATAAGATTTACTTACAAGGATTACTCATTGGTGTTACTTATACGTATCTAAAGCACTTATTTACAAATGTTCATTGCAAAGGTATATTAAAAGAGTTTCATGTATTTGTAAGAGATATTAAGTAGTTTCATGAATTTGTAAGAGTTATTAAATTTTATGACACATTATTCATTAGAGGTACCGGGTATTTACGAGAGTTAATTTCAAGAGTTACGTGTATTTTAAGATTCATGTAAAAGAGTTATTTACAAAACTTAATTAAAAGTGTTACATATACATAATTATATGCTGTAGAGTTAAATAAAAGTTTTATGTTAAAAGAGTTTTTAAAAGTTATTAAAATAGTTATTTCTTATTTAATATTTATTTTTTATACGACTTTATTTTCAGCTGCAGGACAATTATGTATGAATTGTAAGAATGTGGTGAATCCTCACGAATGTGATCAGGTCACCAAATGTGGAGACCACGAGGTAAAACCTTAAAGAAAGAAAAATTACACTAATTCATTGTGTTAAAAGACATTTTTTTTTCAAATTTGAATCGACTTTGTTATTACATATGGTAAAATGAAAAAAAAAATCATACAAAATTGATATTGTCAAGAAGCTTAAAATTTTGAAATCTTTGTTGAAAAGACATAAATAACCTTTTAAAAAAGTGTCTTGTATGCAATGCTACAAATGTTTAATTAAGTGATCAGGTCACCAATGTGGCATATTCCATGATGCGCTAGCGCATCATAAAATGTTACTGAATAATCGTTGTTTATTACTTATATTTGCATTCTTTGATTTTTTTCAAGAATATCAGAGGAAATTGACTTATATAATTAAAGAAAAACATACGGCTTTGTAAAGATTAATACTCCTTTTCCATAATAAATCACAAACATATTTATAAAGTATTTTTCTCAAACACAGTTATTGGAAAAGCAGCGCCGTTGATGCAGTTGTGACGTCATCGATCGACGTTAGTAAAACACTCTGACAAAAATCAATAATTTAACACTATGATTAAAAATGAGAATGCTTTTATAATAATTATTACTCCAGAATGCTTTTCCATATTTTTTTTTTTTATAGTTTTTCTATTTACTTTTAATAGCTGAAATCATTCTTGAAATAGATATACTAGTTAAAGAAATTTTCTCTTTCATTACCCAAGTGTGAAGAGTTATCGTTCTTTGATCAAATATGCATGATACTAAAAATAAAAATATGGCAGTTCTCTGCAATTTTTAAAGAGTTTTATTATACAATTAAATACATTGACCAAAATCAAATTTTTAAAGATATAAATCAGCAATTTTAAATATTCTGAATTTCCTTTTTTTCAAAGAATATTATTAAAAACTTATTTTTATTCCTCTTATGAAACATTTCATATATATACTTCTCAACACTCTGGAAAATGTAGTAGAGATTGTTCTACACGAGTGAAATAGAGCAATTGCATTTATAGTAGAAAGAATTGCGTCTATAGTCTTATGAACGCATTTGATGACTACATATTCATAGTGAGAGAGAGCAATGGATATGCAAATATTGTCTTATAAAGCATACATTTCATTTTTACTACGAAATCGTTTCAATATTTATGGATAGCAAGATCATCCACTATTGATATAAAGTTGCAACCTATGATACTTAATTAAAAAATCATAGTAAAAATTGGATAATTTTTTTTTCAATTAGCGTTAAATAAAATATTTTATTAGTGTTTTTCTTCTATTTTTCTTCTTTAATATAGCAATGCTACATGCAACAATACTTGAGACATAATACAATATGGTATGATTTAGGCTGCCAAAGCAACATTGTAAGTACAGCATAACTCTCTTAAAGAAGAAATATATATCCATTGATACATATTCGATTTGCTGGTGCAATATGATACAAAGGAAGAGTTTCATGCAAGCCTTATACATGACGATATTTTAATTTATTCTTATATCTAAATCTAAATGTTAAAGCAACATTGTTTATGATACGTATGAAAGTAATTCTAACAAAAATATTCTTCACGATGATTATCCAAACTTATGAATAAATTTAACACTAGGTTTGCCAAGCCAATGCAAATGGACCACCAGTCCCTATAATAGGAAAAAGGAACGTAAGAGGTCAAGACCTTGACCCTGAGACCCTTACATTTGACCTTGACGGAGAGGATGACGATGGTCGAATAACTCTTTGTGAATCTTGTTGTAACACTGATGTATGCAATAACGGTGGCGCATGCGGAGTGGCTGGTATGACTTTAATCTTCTTGTAAAATCATAAGTATTGAAAGTTTTTCACCCTGATAATACAAAGCAATGCTAAAAAAGTTGCTTAATTGAAAACAGGCAATATTAACACTCGTTTTTCGTTCTCTCAACTTAGATTCAACCAGGTTAATAAAAATGTCATTATACACTTCAAAGTTTAGTTTACAAAAGATACATTTAAAATTTCAGGGAAAAGGAATTAACATAAAGAAGTGGCGAATGAACAATCATGTTTATCTTAACCACATTTGTCCTGCTTGTATTGAAAATGATTTTTAAAGAATTTATTAGTTTTCTTTTTTAATGTTTCTATTATACTTGCTTTTTTCGTGTCAATATTCTCAGCTTATGATAGTACAAATTGTTCACAATACCTTTCTATCGCTTCACAGATTTTAACTATTACAATGGACGTCTCTGTTTTAAGTGTAGTCAGCAGTTGACCCCTGACAGCTGTGACCGGGTCACTCTGTGTTACCAGGACAGGGTGAGTTATTATCAAAATACAGTGAAAACTGTCTAATCCAACACCTGTTTAATCCGTCATACTGTGAATTCCGACATTAAATTTTTTAAAGTAAGTTTACTCTCCCTGTGTATGTCGGTTTCGACTGGTTTCACTGTATGCTTAAAATCAGCATCGTTCTATCACAAGATATGCATTGTGTAGTCACCACAATGTGCCTAATACCAACTTTGGTAATCACAATAATATGCCTTTATTTAGCTACTAAGTATGTTCAAACACTACAATATGCCTAAAATCAACTACGCATTAACGCTATGCACAATATGCCTAAAATCAATTATGTATTAATACTACAATATGCTTAAAACCAACCATAGATAATGTAAAAACCACAAATATGCCGAAAATCAAAACTGTGTAACACAACAATATGTAAAGCAAATCAACTATATGTCATCACTACAATGTGCCTAAAGTACACTAGGCGTAATCACTTGGAAATGCCTAAAATTAATTAGATGCAATAACCACAATTTGACTAAAATCAACTATATGCAATTAGCACAATATGCCTTAATTCAACATTATGTTATCCTGCAGAACTTATTTTCATTAACAGTTAGAATTCCTTTATAATCCTCCCTAGCTTACTAGGAAAATTTAACAAATGAATATCTGTCGCTACCATAAGATGAAACCGTACAATTCGTTCAAGTGTATGGTCACCTGAAGGTTATAGGAAAATTGTCTGAACAGAAAAAGCAGTGCCACTTTAAGTCACTTTTCAGTAATCATTTAGCCGCATTTCAGTGGACTGATTGGAAAATATTATCCGATGTTTTAATCTTCACGCGTCAGTTTTTTTTTTTAAATCGATATATTTTTTTTAATTTTTGTCTTTCTCAGGAACTTCATGACATTGTGCACTTAATGTCATAGAAAATGTTCAACTGTATATAAAAATACATGCGTTTTGTCAACTATGTTTATATATGTATTTAGAATCTAATATATGCTTAAATTCACTGCTATAACAAATTATTATGAATAATAATTCCACAAGTGCTACGACCTGATTCTACGTCTATTTATGATACAAATCATCAAATTTGGTTAAAAATCTCAAATACGAAGAATAAGAAACGGAGATTATTTTTTTAAATGAAACGAATAGATCTGCAACTCAAGAATGGTAAAATATACTCTCACATTGACTATATATGAGGCCTGTAATATTTTGTATGATGTTAACTACAATGTAAAAATATCTAATCTGTTTTATTTATCCATAACTTTAGTATTGTTACATACACAAGACGAAGCCAGCCGTCGGTTTTACATATGTCTGGGAAACTGGTTGTGCCCAGACAGCGCAGGTAAATATTCATGCAAATTACAATATCTTTATAATGAACTTTAAGGAGTAAACAAACGCATTAAACACTAAAAATTGGAGCAGAGGAAACATATACCTCTAAAAAATCAGAGGTGTGATCAGGTGCCATTGAGAAGTGAGCACCCCCTGCCGACCGGTCTCACCCACCGTGTGCTCCTAGTCAGGACTGGGAAATACTCAGTAACGGAAAAAATCCGTCAACAATTCGGAGTGTATTTAACCGCATAAAAACCGACCAAATACCTCAAAAATGTTAATTTTCACATACCTTTCCATATGATCACATACCTTTCCAAATGTTCACAAAAAGTACATGAAATCTTAAGTTTATACTTGACCAAGACATACGGTGGGTGTGACCGGTAAATTCGAACAATGCATCTGATTCCACCTCTGAATTTTTTCCGGAGTTTAATTTCCCTCTCTTATCATAGATTAGTAGTATTTGTATTTTTTTTTTAATAAATTGATCATCTTCTCATTCTACTGAAAAAATAAAAAGAATGTACCCATTTAAGCTACCTAAGGATGTATCACATTTTTTTAATAAGGATGAATTTTAATATAAGGATCTTGCTAACAATATAATTTTTAACATAATTTGTTAATATATGTATCATTAATGATAAGGTGGTTTAAAGGAATGTCTATTTATTGTGACATTGAAACAATTTAAAAGATTCCTGTTTAAATTCTAAATGATACTTTTTTGTGAGCAGAATTGTTGCCAGTAATAAAGAGTACATTTTTGAGAAAGGTTTTGAAACTAACTATTGAGGAACAGAAAATATTTTCCAACAGAAGGGTTTTTCACATTAATCCTATGCAGGCAAAATTCCTGGTTTACATTATTTCGAAAAGCAATACAACCTCGATCAACAACTAATTTCAATAATATCTTGACTCTAGAATTGCACGCCAGCATATGGAACAATATGCAGCAATTGCTGTTCCGGCAATTTGTGTAACAAGGAGTGTACGTTACAAACCTATTTTTTGTAATTTTCCGCTATTAAATCAAAACTGTCCAAAAATTATATAAAAAATCATGAAGTTCCTACCTACCTAAAGAAACAAAAAAACAACAACAAAAAAAATTTAATTTGAAAAATACAATTTTTAACAATTCGATTTTTTCCAACGAGTCTTTAAAAATTATTTTGATGATATGTATATCAAAAAGATGACTATGTTTTTGTGTTAAACCACAGGAATAACCAACAAAACATTTACACCACGTGGCATTTTTGAAAATCAAGGTTTAAGTACATTGATTAAAAATTTTCTCTCCTTGTAAACAACGACGAACGCCAAAAACCACTCCAAATTTTGTTTAAAATGTGCATACATGCAGTAGATATAGTCATGTACTAAATATTAACGAAAATTTACAGGAATTTTTTTCTGTGTTTAAGGTAGGATTCCTCTCTGGTTTCTGACTAGGCGAAAGATTCAAAGTACATTTGCTTATACATGTATGTCTTATATATTTAGGTGTAAGAGATTTCAAAGACGACATTTTTCTTTCTTCATCACAATTGTACAACTTTAAATAAAAATGGTAAACCACGTTTGAAAACTAGCATGGACTATATTTTTGGCGTAATGGTACTGTATTAAAATATCTCCTTTGCTGCCTCTCAAAATTATTATAGAACAATGAATTTATATATCGAAGATTTCAAGAACTTTTCAAATGTAAGTTTAATTAATAATAAGGGCTACACTTACTAAATATATTAAATAGATATGATTTTTTTCAAACAAACTAGAACTTTGTCCTTTTATAATCTTCCAATCTGAGTACAGATTTGAGCCAAAAATCCAAAAGAAGAATTTTTCTCTCATAGTAAACTTTTTGTTTTTGTGTGACAGCTTTACCATATGTGAAAATATATAAGAAGCATATAAAAATAACTAAATTATCCTAAAAAAAAATTAAGAAAAGAAGAAAAAATCGGAAAAGCCAAGATCAACTTTAGTTAAATTATTTATGTCAATTTGGTAATATTATCTTTTAGGCCCTTTATGGTAGTATCTTTTTATGTAAAAAAAAAAACCAAGAAACATTCAACCTTTTCAAAATGGCAATGGTAATTTTTTTTCCTTAATATCCAGGAAAAAGGTAATAACCTTGACCTGACCTTGTCTCTGATATAAAAAGGTCAAATTTAATTTCAGTGATGCCTTCACTTAATGATATTGTCTTCTTGATTCTGTGAAAATTTCATTATTTCTTATATCCAAGAAATATGAAATGAATCATACCTTAAGTAAAGATTTGATCCTTACGTCGCGTGTTCGAATCCCACCGTGAGACGCGGAGACGGTATAATTCGAGGTCCTGTGTCGCAGTATGTACTGGTACGTACGAAAAAGATCCCTCACTGCTCAGTGGCCCTGAGTGTTGAACATTGGACAAAATTTGTAGTTCACCACCGACAAGAGTTGGTGTCTCAATATGAGTGAGAAATTCTTCAAAGGGACGTTGAATAAGTCACAGTAAATCAATCTTTCTTTGTTTACTGTGGTTTTATTAATTTTCATTGTAATAAATTTTTAAGTATTTTGTAAAAATAAAAAGGTTTTTTCAAGGAAACGTTAATATGTGGACAAAAGCAATGCTTTTTCAAATGAATTACATATTTTATATATTAATGAACATTGAACATTAAATTTCATGGATATGCTCAACAACAACAAAAAAATCCTTAAAAATTGATGCTCAAAGAATATTGGAAGAAACTACAAAATTCTTTAATGAACTTTTGAAAAAAAAATATTACCCATATGAAAACGTCAGCTCTTTTCATTTAGAGGTTTGCGAATTTATACTTATGCTTGGCACTTAGGGCCGTTGGTCAGTTGGGAGTCTTTATCGTGCTAAAACATTCTTCGTCATAGAGCCTCAGTTTATATATCTCATCCGATTGATTGATTGTATATTGTTTAACGTCACTCTCGAGAATTTTTCACTCATATAGAGATGTCACCGTATGCCGGTGAAGGGCTTCAAATTTTGACCTTTACTCCGCACTCAGGGCCATTGAGCAGTGAGGGATCTTTATCGTGCCAACGCCTAGATAAAATGTACCGCTGACACGGGGCCTCGGTTTTTAAGGTCTCATCCAAAGGACCCGTATATCTCATCCGAAGGATAGTTTCTATTTTATTTTTTTTTTCATTGGTCAGTTGGGAGTTAATAACACAACTTTCAAAGCCCCCTGATGACCCTGTCATCAATGGGACCCAAAACAACTAATGCTTCACATTCCATCATTACAACCATCTGCATAACATCATAAAACACTCTTTAAATATCCTGTCAATTCAAGATCATTTAACACCACCATTTTCTCAATAGCTACAGATTCAACACCAACACTCCTTCATTCAATTCATGATTTATCACGACTTCTTTTTGTATAATTTAATATACAACACTTATTTATTTCATTATATTTTAAAATAGCTGCACAGCCACCCAAAATAATCTCCACAGTAACAAGGCCACGACATTATAAGTATGGAGACAACGTGCAATTGATTTGTACGATAGAGAGCAATCCAAAACAAGACGCTCTTGGATGGAATATGATGGTATAATTCTTTCTTGTTTCATACATGTTTTAGTAAGACCTTCAGAAGAATGCACAGTATCACGTGATTGCCGAGTCCTGTCTTTCAGAAACTATAGAAACATACTATCCGTTAGGCTGTTCGTCAACATCTGTACACAATTGATATGCAATGTTGTTTATTTTTTTATTAGTTTGTTAATCAAAGATATTAAATATCATTTTTTTTATAGTTGCATTGGGATATGACGAGAAGTCGGTCACGTGATCAAAATCTATAACACCCGTATATATGTTATAAGCAATGTTTTTAATAACTTATTTCGTTTATTTATTCATTTTTAATACATGTATTTATTATCTTTTTTTATTGCAGACTGACCCTTCACAAATTCCCACAAACATTCAACTTAGTTATGGTACAAATTATGTGATTGTTGATATAAACAATTTCCAAAGTCAAAATGTAGCTGGATACCAATGCTTTGTACACAATGCTTTAGGACAAGATACCCGCAACGTCACACTTAATGCACCCCACTAAATAGAGATTAACGGGATAAAAGATGTTGTAAATCTTCTCTGTTCGGAATAAAGAAATATATTAAGGGAAATACTTTTTTATTTTTAATTATTTAAAATGTTTTATTGTTTTTCCCCGCTATTTTGTCAGAAATTTAAATATAATTCATGATTGCCGTGGCACTGTTTACTTTTGAACAATGTACGGAGGGTATCAAAAAGTTCGTATACAAAGGCGATTAAAAAATGCTATGTTGTCTGTACATTTAAAGAATGTTGATAACTTTGGCTGGACACCTTCATTATTCGTCAAATTAATTTAAAATAAAAATTACATAATCAGATCAACAGCACCGTCGCCGTTAAGTATCATTACGTCTGACAACGTCATTGTTTTTCAGTGTCCGATTCTTGTACTTCATACACTTATCTCGATGAGATTCACTGAACTCTGAATTCACTGAAGAAGAAAGACTTAAATCTGTCTTCTTTTTTTGACATTACAATGTCATGAACAGTGTTTTCAATACATATAATACTGTAAATGGATCTATACACTGGGATAGATCCTCGCTTGATTATGTCAACTTATTTTGCAATTTAGAGTTCAATACATGTATATAAACTTTGCACACATGATCAACGTTATTTTTTGACGTGTTTGAATTTTCACACCTTGATTACAAATCACCTGATCATCCTTTTTTTTTCTCTGAATCTATTTTGGCATTTAAAAAAAGTACCCTGGATATAGTTTACTTCTCTGTAGTCAGTGAAACGCTTCTTGGGTCTACAAAGTATTCTCCTTCATGACATCATTAACAATCCTTTACTTGTTTGGACACTTCATACAAAATTTACGATAACATTTTTATAGGGTTTACAGAATGAGGAAAAATTGCATATTTCAATAACAATAGTGTCCCATCACATACTTGAATTAACGAGATTTATGATTTTACAGTTTACTGAATAATGTGAGCTCATCCTGTGAAGAATCTAATATGTACTTACATGTAATAATGTTGCATGGCGATTTAGAGCCATAGCAGTCAAAAAAGTGGATCTGCTCATAACAGGGTGCAATTGGTACATGTATCCATAGAAATTCTGAAAGATTGTTGCAAAACACTTTCTCATGCAAAAAGTGTCAATTAGAAACTCCAGCAAAATTTCAATATCAATTTCATAGTATTAAGTGTGCAAACAGAATGATTTTTAACAAAATAAATTTTCACATGAGTAAAAATATTTAATTACAAGGTTTGTAAGTTTATAAAAATCAAAATTTATCTAAAAGAAAACAAGAAAAACAATTCAATTTGCATACATATGCATACTACAACCATATGCATACTGTCAAACAGCCTAAACCTGAATATAATGCGAGAGATGTTTGAATAGTGTTGAAAAGTTGTACGTTTGGATGTTTTGTGTCTTATTTGTTACTATTTTCTAAAAGTTCTTTGAACTCTTTGGATCCGGAGTTCTCAAGTTTTTAAGATTCCTCATTTGAATTACATTATTTCTGTAATTTTGTTGTACAGAAATGTGGTTTCCTGCTTTGTCAGTGGAACACTCTGTACTGATCGTGTAGTCTAGTTCTTTTTTTTCTTCAATTTAAATATATAGAGATAACGAATATTCTATTAAACAATACAAATTTTTGAGCAGAGCAAACACGAATTTCTAAAACATCATAGGTATGATCAGTTTAAATTAATGATTTCAAAATACATGTGAAACAAAATATTTTCATTTGATGTAAGACTTATTTATTTAAATGATATGTTCTTCAAGAGTGCATACTTGCACCAAATAAATAAATCTGTGAATAAACAGGATTTTCAATAGTTTAAAAAAAAGAAAAAAAAGTTCAATATCACAGACACTTCCCAATTACAGTTTAGGAATAAATTCCTACATCTAGTTAATCAAATGGCATTTAAACTTTCAAATAACTTACAAAACCCAAAGAAAGCTATTGTATTATCTTTTTTGACAGGAAGATACGAACTCTATTTACATTGATGGTATTACATTCGTTCTACTGGAAAACTCATTTCTTTATAGCACCTTATCCCACCTTTGGTGTTTTGTCTCTGCTCTTGATTTGTATTGTTTGAATAGACTTTTGAGCTATTATACTGTACATTATCTACATATCTTAATTTGCTGTCAATAATGTGATGATAAATTCGTATATGATAAAAATATATTCACAAATATAGAATGTAATCAGTGAAATTCAAGAGTTAATCCTTATCTTAAAATTAGGATACATTGAAGAGAAAATAAGCATCTTGTTCTATTTCATCTGGATTCAAGTCTGTGTTGGAAACTTGATTAAGTGTTTTTGAATCAAACTAAGTGTCCACCTAACATTTTTTTACCGGTTGTTTTAAAAAATAAATGCATACAATAATTTTTTTATTGTAAACCAACTTTTATTCGCGTGCGAGAATTTTTTGGCGAAGTTCGCGAGAGCCTCGTCATTGCGAACATTTCTCGCCGCAAACCGGTTCTTAAAGTATATGTGTCTATCAACAACAGATCCAAAAAGACTTGATCGCGAAAATTAATCGACGCGAACTAGTTTATCTCTTGTGCATATTAAAAATTGATAGTGTCTATTTTCAAATCTTAGATTGTGAAAATGTATTGATTAGCATTATAAACAACAATAAATTTTTTACGAGTTTCTGGTTATAAACAAATTTGAAAGTAACTTCACATTTGATATACAATGAACCAAACTTCTAAGTGTCTGCGATTGTTCACTAACTATCGAAAGAATGTATTTAAATAACATTTTTTACCGAGGTGCCTTATTAGTTTTAAAGAATAAATGCATACAATAAATTATTTATTGAATTCATGGTTAATGATGCATATTTCAGTTCGAAGTTGCATTTATTTCATGTATGTATCTCGTCAGAATTTTAAAACAAAGTGTCAAGGAATTGATGTACCCTCAAAATGAAAATTCATACAAAACAATCTCTATGGAGTAAGACCACCAGTCGCCCTAATTACTGCAAGACATCCTTTTTTGTTGGATACCATGTACACCTGAATAGGAGATTGACCAATCTGCCGCCACACCTCCTGTATAGATCTTTTCAAACCGTTGAAATTGTGTGGAGGGGGGATTCTTTGACATTCCTTATAAAAATCCAGAATGTATTCAACGGGATTCAGATCCGGGGATTTGACAGAGCATCATCACACAGAGGCCTTTTGGTCAATATCCTCGGACGTTTGGCACGTAAGTGTACCACTTTAAGGATGGTTCAGACTGCTTGAGCTGATAATAGACTGCCAAGAGATCCGATTTCTTATCATTTTCATACGATTGAAATTGTTAATTTCATGTTTCTAATTAAGATTGTTTTTGGACATTTTTTAAAACACCCCTGAAACCTGGTGTGACGAGAAATTTTGGCCTCGGACGAAGACCCGGTTTGGTTAAATTTTGTCCAAAGCTTTCAAATTGTGATATCTGTGGCAATGAAAATTAAACACAGCTTATAGAAATTTAAAAACGTTTAAGTGGGTTTTGATACTGGTTGTTAATTTTCAAAAATGATATCAAGGATACTTGAAATCTATAATAGAAGTGAGTAGAACGTGGTGCAAGTATGGTCCAGATATCAACATTCCAACAGCTCTCCTTTCTTTCTCAATGGTCATTTTGCAAATGTTTTGTGTTTTCTAGTGAAACCAGTTTTTAAAATTAGATAATGATCACAAAAAGATGCTACATGTAATTACACAAAACACTTGCCGCAACGTACAGATGTTTTTAAGCTTTATCACGGAACATTGGTTTTTATCGGTGATATTTGATTTTCTTTCAACAATTGTTGAGAAGACTCATTTGTTGTTATAATTTGAAAATAGCATACTATTCTATAAAGTAGTTTTTAAATAAATACATTTATTAAAGCGAACACGTAGAAGTTTTGTTATGTGCATAATCTTTATTAACAAGAATTCTTCAGCTTAATATATAATTTTCATTGATATGCAAACATAAACAATCAATCTGTCAACAACTTTTCAATGGCTTTCATTAAAGTTCCTTTCCTCGAAATCAATGTGAAGAAAGAATATTCACAATTCTAGAGTCTTCCCCGAAAGAATTCTTTACACTACATCTATAAGGAACTTCATTAATCCTCTGAAAGTTATTGATGCGAAGCAGTGCAGAATAATTCCCAGAAATGGCTTCGATGTTTGTTGGTATCTCGCTTGTCTGGTAAAAAAAGAAAACCCTCATTGAATTGAGGACAAAATACTATGTGCTAAAATTATATTGTATCGAAATTATATCGATAAATTCATTTCTTGACTTGGTTCGATATCAACATAAGCCTCTTTGGGGCTGAAAACCAATCTGTTTGATTGAGGAAGAATAGCAAAAGGAGAATGATGCAGTAAGGAAAAAGAAAGAATCTTGGTTCGAGGATTTCACTGTCCAAAATATGGCCAAGTACCTAGTAAAGAGTTTTCTTTCCTATACGTGTTATATCGTATTAAAAGAAATTGTCGACATATACAAATTATAACAGTATTTTGAAATTTGTCACCTGGAAAAAGGATTATGGAATGATTTTGAAAAATGTTTGGGAAATATTTTTACCTACAAAATAATTTTTAGGGACTGATATTTAAACTACAGAATAAAAAGGATTATAATATAATTGCCAACATGAGGTTTTCTAATCTTTTGAAAGCAAGCACATGAAAATATGGGATTGTCGTCTAATAAAAATGGCATTCCTTAGGCCATCTTGAAATGAATCTTTGCTTGCCCTCATCCGACTTAATTATGATAAAAATAAATTGGTCGGTAGGTAGGTGAGAATTTTCCCCAGAAAATCTTTAAACATTTTGTTCATGGTATAGAAACAAATCAGGGAGAAAGAGAGAAAGATATGATGGCCTGGAATGTTAAAAGAGTTTTACACGGGTCACTATTGCCAGTCGATCGAGAGAGAACAAAACAAACAATTATTTCATAAAGATATTTTACTGTACATGTAAGGCAGCCGACTAGTGGTCTATTGTGAGAAAACTAAACCAGAGAAACTCTTTATTTTCATATCATGCATAACTTACATTGACTTCAGTATATATGCCAAGTTTGGTGAAAATCTACTGTCAAGGTATTGTTGGGGGCCCGTCTCAGAATACATGTACATTTGATATAAGAGTACATCTTTAGGAAAGCACAAATTTTCGCTATATAAAGCAAATTATACAAATACTACAATAGACTTTTTGCTCAAACTATAATATATGATGAGTAAAACTATATTGTTCAAAGACACAAAATTTTATAGTCTTGTTTCCAGAGGAGCATATCAAAATGCCAACGAATTAACGAATTTTCCTGCTTTATAGAGTACTACAAAATATGACATATACAAAGGATTTATACATAAAAATAACAAAAATGATTGAAAGATTCTTGAATCCTTTAAAACAGTAAATACTGTTCATTTTACTATGATGCGCGAAACATTGCGCAATGGACACCCCAGTCGACCCTTTTAAGATCTCTCTTTTTTTGTAAAATTTATCATTTATTCTTTTATCACAGATGGTGTGTACCATCACCCTCTTTCTTTAAAAAAAAGATCCCATAAATATAAGGTAATTTTCGATCTAAATACGAGCAGATAGTCCACCACAGATAAAAAATGAAAAAAAAAATAATAGTACACGATATTTCAGAAAATTGATTGGTCATACCTTAACATCCCAATTGATGATGTCGTACTTTGGGTAACTTTTAACATGACAGGTGGCTGTGACGTTGTCACCAAAATGAATAATTTTTGGCTTAATATCAATTAAAATGACATGGGGCGGTCCTCCCGCTAAATAAATAAATAAAATTTTAAATAAAAGAAAACATATCAAATATATAAATAAATATGTATATTGAATAACTAATTAACTATATCAATACATATACTTATACATTAATTAATCTTTTTACTACTAATCAATTAATAATTAATTAATAAAAATCTGCACCAGTGAGTCAATATCATAAAAAGATATCCATTAACAATTGGCAGAATTCCTTTCTGTGTTTAAACTAAAATTATCAGTTTAAGAGCCACTTAGGTCTTGAGAACAAGTACACATGAAAAAAAGCAAAAATCTCTATTTTTTAATCCTGATATAAAGTCTTGCGAAAGATGAAAACACGCGTATTGTTTTTAACGGGATCAAATGCAAAACACAAGAAAACATACCTAATGCGGTTGCTGGTGTTGTCTTTGAAATAGTAGTTGTTATAGGTAACTTTGTTGTTGGAATTTGGGATGAATGGCCAGCAGTAATTGTCAAGTTGAAAGCATGATTCACAAATTGTTGACCATCGGATGCCACGCATAGATACTCACCAGACTCAGAATTGGTGAAGTTTGGAATAACTAGAGTCATATCGTCATTTATTGTGTAAGCATGTAATGGTAGAGAATTTCGTGGCTAAAATTTAAAGTAGATGTTGTATTCGTGTTATTATTTTAAGTAACTTCCATAGCAGATATTTAATTTAAAGCAGTCATAGTTTTCCTTTACAAACACATTTAAAATTCAAATTATCGGTTTCTGTATTTATGAATTCTTTAATGCGTTAGTATACGGGTGAAGTGGGGTGGTAATTTCTGAAGATGTATCAACTGTAATAATAAATGACATAATTTACCAAATGAATGTTCTATATCAGAATTGCCGATATCTAAACTTTTGATTTTTTTTTATGTAACAAAGTTATTATATATCACGATATATTCTTTGATACATCGTGATATTCATTGCTGAAGGTACATAAAAATGCATACATATGGCCTTATCGTTGAATTCAGGGGCCCGTTTCACAAAACTATCTTATGACTAAGATCTGTCTTAAGACCGAAAATTATCGTAAGATTGCACCATAGCCGTTTCACAAAACTGTCATATCTTATGATAATCGTAAGATCTATCATAATCTTAAGACAACTAGATACATGTCTTAAGTCTAAAGTGAAATTTGCGACAGTATGTATTTTGGCTAAAAACCGAAGGATATTTAAAGAAAACGGTTTTTAGAGATAGAACAATCCTTTGGACTATATCCGGCCAGTCAGAACAATGACACCCCCCACTCCCCGAAAAAAAAAATGCCAAAAATATACGATTGAAAAACTAAAATGTACCTACTTTATGTATTCCCACTTTATTCATTTCAAGACATTTTCTTTGGCTGTGCCTCCTCCCAACTGATTTGCACCCTCAAAAACCCCAAGTGCTTCTTTGGACCATGTGTATTTTTATGGATTTGATAAGTCCATGAATTTTACTTTAATTTGTTTTGTTACATTGTGGCAGACAATATATAAATGGTTTTTATATGTTTCTAACTGTGATGATTTAATTTCAAATTAAACATTTTATTCAGTCGTACAAAATTAGATGAGGTATCCTTATTAATCCACAGGAATGTGTATGACAATTTAATATGCTGTAATATTTGATGCTGTATGTACTTGCTTTCTTTATGCTTTTTCTTAATAATAGTGAAACCCTAAAATTTTGAATGGAATTTTTTCTTTTGTTTCTCTTCTTCATTTGTTAGCATTGTTATTTTGTTGCAGTAGTTGAAGCGTTTCAAAGACACAAAAAATTTTTACGACTAAGACTTAAATTTTATCACACTTTCTTTTTTTAATTTGATAAAAATATTTTTCTAAATAATTGAATCAAACTTATTCATAAAATATTTTTGTAATGTAATAGAAAAATAAGATTTTCGCAGCTTACATGTAAATAATGTTGTAGAATGGGGGAGAAGTTTTGCTCTTAGTTGTAAGATCTTTTGTGAAAAGGGCTACTGCATCAAATAAATTTTATGAAGGAACTTTGAACACAATTTGGTGTTTCAAATGGATTAACTGAAAAAAATCTTTCATTATTTGCAAAGCTTCAGATACAGTAGTAGTTTTAATTAAAAGTGATCACAGGCATTTTGTCAAAAACTTCCATTTCACGAGCAAAAAGACATTTCAGCAAATTTTATTAATTTTTTGTGATGAAATTAACTCAAATTTAATTTTAATGACCCCCTCCCCTCCCCAACACACACACACAAAGTACATTAACTTTAATTGATGCAATAATTTTTTTTTTCGAGATTTATCTGCAAAAGAAACTATATGAGACACACATTATTTCATTATTTCAAAGAAAATTTAAGAAAGACCTCGTGAAAACTTTTTTTAAATCCCTGAGATATTGAAGAATGGAATATGCATGTCTTAAGACTTGTCTTAAGATTTCTTATACTTAAGATACATGTAGTTTTGTGAAACAGCAGTGACAAATCTTATGATTGTCATAAGTCAGATCTTAAGATGATCGTAAGATCTATCTTAGGACAAATCTTACGATAGTTTTGTGAAACGCGGCCCAGATGTACAGCTGTAGATAAAATGGGATTTTACCTGATGTATAAGCGCTATTTGTAAAGTAAGCTATTTTTTTCAATTCAAATTGATTATAGCGGAAAAGAAATTTTAAGCCTCACTCTGATCCAGGTTATATGAGGATGGTTTCCGCCACTCAGTACGCATGTCAGATGAACTTCTGATCCCTTAGTAACGTAACTGGGTTGATCAATGTAAAGGATTTTCAACTTCTCTGTAGAATAAAAAATATATTTGCGCTTTGACTTTTGTCCTGTTTATGTCTAGTATTAAACAGATGTAGTTTTTTTAAAACGACTGGGATGAGATTTCATTACATTTTATTACAGTACTGAAGTTCTTCTCTTGTACTTACTAAAAAGCTTTATAAATAAAAAAAAATGTCCTTTATATTTTATGACGTTGGTTCATAAAAAGTAATCTAACTTTTCTGAGAACAAAGGGTCAGATGAATTTGAAATACCAAAATTGTACCAAAATCAACAACATAAAAATTTGCGACTTTTCAACTTCATATACAACCATTCTTCCTGCATGATATCATTGACAAGAGTTTTTTTAATAAACAGGAACTCGTTAATTTGCGTACGTTTTCAGCGGTCATTTGCAAAATAATTTTGTTAAAATCGTTCTCGCACATGAACATAAAAAGAAGAAGTCGGGGCTTCTGATTTACAATATCAATAATGGGTTTAGAGACACGATCTCCCAACAATCTATTGTAATTCTTATGGGTGTCAATAGTGTCCCGTTATAAGCTTACCTATTTTTGTATTCATATGATGCACATGTAGAATGAAATTGTCAAAAATATGTCAGTTACAAGAAGAAATCACTACCTGTGGCCCAGAACTTGACAAATAGATATATTGATGACGTTTTATCAGTCAATAATGCTTAATGATACGAAATTAAATATCCGGGTGAGCTTGAAATGAAAGAGTTGAACATTTTTGTTTCGTATTTGGATATTTTACTTGAAAAAGACGCTAATGGTAATCTAACAATTAAGCTTTATGATAAACGTCGTGACTTTAACTTATCAATTGATTCTTCCCTTACATATATGCAATTATGTATCTTCAACACCTGTATAAGGGGTTTATATCTTTCATTTCACAAACCTACACTTATCACGAATGGACACTGAAAGGTGTCTGAATGGCAGAACTAGAACCTTTCAGCCACTGTTCAATGAAATAAATGACAAGTATTCATCCTGTGATTAAAGCAAAACTTAGATGACTAAACAGAAGGAAACTGAACTTTGAGTAAAAGCTAATGTAATTATTATACTCTCACAGCAGAGATAAGGTTGCGGTATGGTAAAGCGCATGCGTGTTTATGTGTTTTTCGGAGGATGGGGTGTTTGTTTTGTGTGAGATACGGAAGTGGTTTAATTTAGTTCGGGATCGATGTGCAAAGCTGCCTTGATAGCATTATAAAGAAAAAAACATATGAGGGTCTGCTCCACTTTTCGATACCCTTGTTTGCAATTTTACCATTTACATGTATATGTAACACATTAAAAATGCTACCATAAAATATATAGATAAAACAAACAGAATCCAAGATGAGAAGTTCCTTCAACAAGTCTGGAGCATAGTAAATGCGGACGTCTAAAATTTCAAGTTGAATCACGTGCCATATAGCAGTGAGCATCCCTTGCAGACCGATCACATGTACCCTAAATGTCATAACTGGGAAAAAAAAACAACCTGTGGACAAATCAGTGTGTAAATAATGACCATAGAATTCTTACCTGTCTTAAGAAGACAAGAATGATTTTCACAAGGTAAATTTAATTTGTTATTATTCGAGCAGCACTTGAAACAAGAAGATGGTGATCGGCGTCCAATAATATTTCCAACTATAACTGGTGAATCAGTCGTTGTGATGTGGTTCGAAACATGACAAATCTGTTGCAGACATAATTCTGGTAGTATAAAGATGTTCAAGGCTAACGCCTTTGTTTATATTGCCATAACCATTGAACAAGAATTTTTAAAAGAATAATGTAGGAAGAAGGAAATGTAGAATTGATTTTCAACGTGACAGACGAACGCGAAAGAAACATATACACCCCCCCCCCCCCCTGTTTCAACGGTCAGGGACCAATAAATTAGAAGAGAAAATGATGATGAATTTTGTCAAAATGTTTGTCTATGTTGTCTAAAATATGTCCTATCTTTTTTTATCATGCGAGTGCATTAGCTCTTTTGGTAAATTAAGATGGCTAAAACACCCAGAGCTGTGATGTAATACTCCTAATTCGTCGAGGGTTGTTGAAGTGTAACAAATCTCAAAAAGAAGGGAGAAAAACATAGCTTTTCAAAAAAAAATCGGCTAGGAGTAGTTGTTACATTCTTCTTGCATACTTAAATATGTGTATATATGTTTCAAATATATATTAATACAATGAATACATGTATATTTGAAATAAATTACAAATAAATACTGTTTGTGAATAAAACAAAAATAAAATGTTTAATATGTTAATATTTGAAGTAAATTAAAGGATTTCATTACGAATAATAAATTATGTATTGATTGTAAACCCCTACCTCCTCTGGCTGGCAAACCTTTGTGTTCGTGAAGCAAACTGAAGCATCAGTTACGTCATCACAAGAAAAACAAGTTTCCGTTGCGTCATATCCTGTGAGATTTAAGAAAACGATATGTTCCTTTATTTGCTTGACTCCACTTTCAAGAATGTTTTCAATAATAATAAGATGCCATCACTTATTTCAGGGTTGCAAATCTGGCACTCAGTAAGGGAGTTTTTAGCCGGGCTTTGCTGAAAACAAAGTCCTGGCTATAGGCATCATGATCGACTGTCTTACTATAAATAGCACAGTAAACAAAAAACCAAACAGCGTCAAAGCAGACGCTTGCAATAAGCAAAATTGTTCCATTGCCTGACGATACTCTTAAAAATACTTTTAGCACATCGCAATCGTTTGATAAGTTAGTGGTCAATATTTTTGCTTGAGAATTAAACTGAAAGATGAATTATATATTTGCTTTATTGGGATGATCGTGATATAACAATTTTTGCACATACGCTGCTGAAATGATATTGTAAGCGAACTACTTTCAATAGCGCGGGCTTTTCGAAATGTTGAAATTGTTGAAGAGTATCATCTTTCATATCGTTTTCGTCGATGTTATATGTTAGTGGTTATATTCTGTTTTGATTTTTAGCAAACCAATAGTATAATGAATTTGAATTTGAAGAATTAATTGAAACTAAAAGAATGTCTGTAAAATACACATGTGCATTATTTTGACTTTTCCAAGACGGATTTTTTTTTATGAAAAACGAAAATATGTTTATTTAATAGAAAATATGCAAGAATTTCTTGGAAATATTCATAAAATTTTAACATAACATACCTTGGGGTCTGGACTGTCAATTTTAATTACTGGTATATGGGATTTTGTTTTAAATCATAATCATGCAAACTCTACCCGTTAAAAGTCAATGGCCAAAATGAAAAAAAAAATGCACTTATTTCGGATCAGGAAATATACTTTAGCAATTAAAGCCCGGGTTTCAGTTCTTTCAATACTTTGATTTTGCTATGCCAGCATACTCTACTGCACAGAAATTCCTTTATACGATCTCATTATCCCTTGGCATACGATGCTGTGAAAAAGACGTGATTGTTATTGTCACGTGATTTCGAATTTTCATATCGTATATCGTACTTTAATCATGAAAGTTTTTAAAGAATAATTAAAAAGAAGGTATTGATTTTTCATTTGTTATTTTATGTGCAAATCTATACCTTCAATATAGATTCTAATTCATGTTTTGTACATATCTTAAGATTTTGAATGACACATTACCTATTCATGTGATCGTTTACTTGCAATTGGGGATTTCATTCCCGAGAATAAAGAGTCAAAATATGTCCCCGAGTGCAGATATCGTCATTAACAAAAAAGAAAAAAAATGCTGATTGGTCGATCAATGTCGATCATTCCAATCACAACTTCGTTGAGAAAAAAAACCTATGGAAAGGAATAATAAGGAGAAAAGCGTATCAGAAACCCTTGACTAGCGAACACTTTTAAAAATATGGTTTTTTTTAATGCTGCCATGATTTTCACTCAGTTTCTTGATTATTATTTAGCTTTTAACTACATTGAAAAACATTCTCAGTGTACAATTATACATGTTTCTTTAAAAAAAAAACACTTTTGATCAGCCTTTTATCTGTACATGTAATACATGTAATATTCTGTTGCTCCAGTAACCTAAAACTACAATTTAACGTTACCAGCATTGATATATTTTCTATATGTGGGCAAGAAATATAAGATCTGTGATCAAAATTTAAGCAAAGTGAATGGTAAGCTTCCAGTAATACAAACAATAAATTTTCTTTATCTTACCTTGTATTGAAACTAGTAATATGCTGACAAAGGTAAATGAACGCATTTGTTCTGTAAGAACAAGTAATTTCTATAAATTAGTCAAAGTAAAGGTACAGTATAGGCATAATTGAGACCTTAAAATTTAATGTTTTCAAAAAGTTATGAAATTGGCTCAATTGAATATGATTTGAATATATAAAAATGATAAAGCATGAATTCAAAGAATATGGCAAGGAGGATCATTTTGAAATCATGGCGTCATTTGACAATAAAAATCTTGTTTTAGAGGTTGTTTTCCATAAGCAAACATCGTTCATAGCCGTATTCCATTTCATTATTCAAGATATTGTGTAAATTAATTTCTAAAACTCTTTGAACGAGAGTTGTCCGGAAAAATTGTGGACAACGCGTTTTTCTAAAAATATAATAGTCGCACTGAGCTGAAATTTTCAGCTTATGTAAATATATCATATTGAAGTGTATCTTAGTTTGTTGATCAATATAGACAAACATAATGATTTTATTATGCTGGGTGTGCCCAACGTACGGTTATACGGTGCACGATTAAAAAAAAACAAGGTTGTATTAGAGAATACATATTACGATAAACAATTACACGTGTATTTTGAAAATAAATGTATTGAAAATAGATTAATGTAAGGTAAAACGAATCTCATTTTAGTTCACCATGTAGTGTGTCGTCATTTGGAAAACCTCAGGGCATTTGCTTAATTTTTGGCAATTTAATCCCGAGCATCCGAAATGGGAAAGTGGTAAACATAATGTACGAAAAATGGTGACGTTTGATTTAATTTGTGAGCTGAAAGTTTGAGTAACATTGAATTATATGATGTACTTACCATTTTGTGACATTTCGTCAACTTTGCTAGTTGTATAAGTCTATAGAATAACAAAATCTAGATGAGACCTTGCACAGATAACACGTTGTACTTCTAAAGAAATAAAGGAGAAGGTCGGAATGTTACATGTTATAGATAATTATTGCGCTTCTGACTTTTAAAGTAAAACGAAAGTCCCCTTTTTTTACTCTCTCTCTCTATCTCTCTCTCTCTCTCTCTTTCTCTCTCTCTCTCTCTCTCTCTCTCTCTCTCATGATCAAAATTTTGAAGAGTAAAGTACAGTTTTCCTTTTCACAAAAATCTTATAACTTAGATTAAAATTTCAAAACTCTGTAAGTTTTTTTTCAATGTAAATATCTTTTTCTCTTTAAATATTATGAGCAATATAATCAAGAAATAAATAAGTTACCGGTAAATAAAAAATTAATAAACTTCATTGGAAATTGAAGTGGGTCGGTCAGCTAAGTTATCAAATTTTCAGGAGATTTGGTCAAGTACCGATCCTCTTCAATTTCCATTTGAATTTTAAAACTTGTGAATTATCACTTATATATACATTTGAGACAGACAGTTAAATAATTTTCAAATATATATCATTGCAATAACCGTTCGTCGTAGATTTTGAAAAAAAACACGCAAGGTGTAAACTGGCTTGAAAACGCTTTGCATAATTAAGGAGAAATGGTGTTCATTCTGCTCATTTAGATAAGGGCCATATTGGAGCTACAGTATAATGGCGACAGATTCCCGAAGCCTTTATATAGAGAACATACAAAAATTGCAAAATCTTTTATACTAACTATTTCGGATAAAGTTCTTCCGCCGATGTTTTGATTTTTCTCTATATCATCTACCGGAAATCACGATGATGTTGATGCTAAAGTGAAAGTTGCGACCGCCTTTTTGATTTGAAATTCGAAGAGAGAGTACATTGTTTTATTGAAGGAAAGAGCACAGGATTAGTGTTTTTATCATTTTTGATGATAAAATGTAAGTGTTTATTGTAAGATGACAGAGTTCTTCCGCCCATTATGAATGCTTATTTTTACAAAATACAGATGATTTAACATTTCATGAAGAGTTACGACCGCCTTTTAGATTTAAAAACGGCAATTTCTTGCACCGGCATGACCTACTTATTATTCAAAAGAACGGTATCACGAATTGTAAACAGTCAATCACGCAAAAGTGTACAAATTATAACTATGAAAGGCCATACAAAAATAAAAACAAACCAGATTTGAGCGTTTAAATGTTAAAAAAATAAAGAAATGGTATATTTTGAGTTTTTGCAAGATCTTATGAATATTTATGAGTTGAAAATAACGTGAGAGCAATCTCATGAATAAACTGAAAGCTAATTCTCCACATGGAATTCATCAGGCAAAGGACTATATTTCGAAGGGAAGTTTTTTTGAAAGGTAACTTCAACATACTTGTGATCGATTGTTGTCTTGGCGTATTTGTATTTGTTAAAAGTGATAATCAAAGCTGCAAAGCTAAAGAAAAACGTTTGGAGATGGATGATAAAAATTTCGCTCGTCCGGAGAGTCATGGATCCGAAGCATGCGATGGTTGGAGACACTTGTTCGAGCCAGTTAGGCTAATTTGCACTCAAAATTAAATTAAATTTGATCAGAAACATAAAATCTATGATTTTAGTAGGCATATTTATGATGTAGAAACAGAGACACTGGCGACAGCTTACATTGTTACGACAATGCCGAAGTGTTTGTCAGCTGTTCGTGGCGTAATTGCAGTGTTGAACTGGCAATATTTCTTATAGCAGAAATATTGAGTCTATAGGAGATAGAGTTATTGATTAATACGTGGAAGGTTCTCTTAAAAAATATCTTGAGTTTTTTTTTCCAAGAATTCAAAGATGTGTTTTTGGAATGCTGTTGTTCCTCTGCATCAGATCTTGACAGGGTTAAAATATCCAGACTCCAAAGTACATGGACCTAATGAAAGGTCTCGTCACGGAAACACAAATATGAAACATAAAGTTTTTTTTCACGAACTGTTCATAATTAAATTATGGTTTAGGGTAATACTTTTTTCAAATATAAACAACTGAGATATAAATGATTTGGTGTATGCAGGAACTTTTTAAAAGCATTTAAGTTAAATGGGATGTGTAAAATCAGATGGAAATATAAGAATAAATCAGACAAAGACACTTTTCCATTAGCAAATGCTTCCAAAAATACGTCATTGAATCCCTCTTTCAAATATTTTGTTTTGCAGTAAAATTATCTTATACTTATTATTTATTTTATTATGCCCTTGCTCCAGAGTTTGAAGGGATATAGTAATGCATTAGTGTACCCGTTTGTGAGTGATTGATCGTTGAACGAAGCGGAAGTGAAGTACTGGCATCGGGATAGGAAAGCTGCTTTGATTAATAGATATGCTCGTGGCGAGTTGTTGCTACGCTGTACGATATCCTTGATTCGGCTAAAATAGCAAGCATAACTCAATCAAGCAAGAAAAATATATCGTTAAGCAGAGGCTTTCTTTAAGAAAAGTACCCTTCAATTGGGATCTAGACAGGGTTCGTTTGGATACGCTTTTGTATTTCAGAAGAAACGAAGCAATATTTGCTGCATTAGCATTTAAACATTTTCATGAAGAATTTAATTGGAATATCTAAAATAAAAAGAAAGTTTAATCTAAACTGAAACACGCTGTTTTCTGTTGTGACATAACTGTAAGTGTTGCTTTTTATTTATTTGTTTCAAAAAGTAAAAAGACATTTCATTTTAATTTCATTTGGCACTTCTCGGTTCTGTTGATGAAGTGTAACAATTAGAGTGTCATGTCCCATAGCATTTTGAACAAAGTATTGGTACTGACCTATATTCTGGCTTTGGAAGTTATGGAGTGAAATGTAGCAGGATCTGAACCAAAGATTAGACGGATGTTCGATGGGTCAAATGTGGGGTTAAAAAGAGGTAAGGAACTCATTTCATGGGGCACCCACTCTGTTATGAACGGGGGATACCACTTATGGATTTAAACTTTTAAATACTGAACATCTTTCTACTTTTCATACGCCCGGCTAATGACAGGACGTATTTTGTTATAACGTTCGTGTCCGTCTGTCTATCCGTCCGTTCGTCTGTTAGCTTTTTCGTGTCTGGCTCATAACTTTTAATTACTACTTTTAGGCCTAGAGTACGTGTAAGCAAACTCTTTCAGTTACTACATCCTGGGTAGAAGGTGTGTCGCGCAAAAAAAGTAGGTCCTTCTGACCTATGATTAAGATGTTATAGCCAAATATGGAGAAATCCTGTCAGGTCCATATCTAGAAAACTTATTAACTTAAAATCATCAAATTTGGCCAGTTTATGCATCTTAGGTAGACGGTGTGTTGCGACTTATTTCAAGGTCACTGTGACCTTAAATTGAATTTTTTTTTTTTTTTTAAATGTGTCTTTTTACTGTTCATTTACAAACCCCAAAGAATGTATCAGTAATGCACTATCATTATTAAAAATGTTAAATCAAGAAAATACTTATATTTTGCAGCAAAAACTTGACAGCAATCCATAACAAAATTTTATATCAGGTATGGTAGAGAAATTCAAACTCTCCCATGGGTGTAATTATCAAGCACTGGTCAAGAATTTTACGAAATTTGATAACAGAAAAATGTATGTCAAATTAGAGAGAAATGATTTTATTGTAAGGAGCTAACTTGTAGGGCATCTCTTAACAAGCAGGTGTTATCTATATTCCTGGGAAATGGACAAAGAGGTCAGGTGTCTGTTGTAATAAAAATAATTCTAGCCTAAGTCTTAAAATGAATTCCATAAATAGTAATTAAGACAAATCCGATATTATATAATATTATCAAACCTAATTTTATGAGATTGGGATTGGAATCAGCATGTCAATTTGTCCATACGAATTGCAGAATAAAACATGTCAGACACGAAATCTAATAAAAATCATCAATTTCGTTTGATGTTTAAAAGCGTTTTATGGTAGATAGTGCAGATCCATTCATTCCGTGGGATCAGTAATGAGTGGACAAGCATCCAGTTAAAGATTACTAATGCGTTTAATGAAGGAAGGTTAACTGTATCAATCACTTCTGTAGAGCATCTTTGATCAAGCAGCTGCAGTCTTATCTCTCTCCTTACGACTTAGACAGAACAACTGCTCGTCGATTTATAGCATGGCAAGGATATGGAAATAATGAACAGTATTCAATATCAAAGTCCATAAACAATAAAAAATAGGAGCAGAGCAAACATGGACCTCCAAAACATCAGATGGGATCTGGTGACATGGAGGAGTGAGCATTTCCTGCTGACCTGTCAACACCCGACCTGTACTCCTTGTCATGATTAGGAATTAATGGAAAATTCTTCGTCAATTCATTGTATAAATAATGGACTAATATTTAGTATGAAAAACGTAAGTCAGCATTTGACTCAATGATAAATTGTATTTGCTGACAAGGTTACTGTATCGACCATAGAACTTACGAAATGATGGCTTTAAACGACACTGTTGATATTCTTGTTTCAGCAACTTGCTTGCCAATGCTGTAAAACGAGAAAATTTGGCGCATACATATTTTAGCCCAAACGCAAGTGGGAATGCATTGGCGCAAACAAATTTTAGCGCTTGCACCTGTCAGTAAAATTTGTGTTTTGTTTATCCACATCCGTATTTGACTTTTTGGTTAATCAAGCACGGAAACACATTAGTACTCCTGTATATCAGTAAACATTCGTTAACTTTACCGCGGTACGTGTTGCTATCACAGGGACATGGCGCAATGTTAAATCTATTTTATTTTTATTTTCAATTAAAAGAAATGGAGTATTTACTCATTTAAATCATATTAAAACAATGCATGCATCGACAGAAAATTACATAGATAAAGCGGTAATCCTAATCAGGTAATATTGTCTGCAAGCTCAATCACCATGCTTGGTTGAATTGTTTACCTCGAGGCGATAGATGATTGACACGCCGAGAAGCCAAACTTTGAAGGTGTTAATGATAATACTGGGGTAACAATAGTTTAATTAAATTACAATTTG